GAAACACCCGATCTTGATAATTATGTAAAGCTTGCTTTAATCTGATTTTAATTTTTTTATAGTGATGTATTTTTTCTGCTTGCAGCGGTAGTAGTTTTTTCTGGTTCTGATGATGGATATTGAGTGTCTGAACCCGTCTACTGGGTATAAGCAGACGTCGGTGTTATGTCATTAAATGACTGGTTATTCCCACACATCTTGACTGGACAAACTCAGAGGAAATCTATGTCAATTTCGCTTACAGAACTCTGATTACATGCTGTACAGCCACTAGCCTGGACGCTGTAGTAGTACCAAATATTTAATTTTTTATAGTATTGTGGAATCAGCAGTGCTTCTGTATGTGATTATCTTCTAGGCTGAATAGCTCTTGTTACAATCAGCAAGGGTCACATAAATCAATAGGAGGACCCCTAACAGGTATAGCGAGGGAGTCACCCGCCTCACCGCCTCACCTAACAATATTTTTTTTTACCACAGGATGATGTTTCGTCCCAAAACTAATGTGTAAAGCTTCACGTAATTAGATGACAACTAAAAGTTTAGAAAGAATACAATTTAATTCACTTTTATTATATAAAAAAGAACGGTACCATTCAGGCTAACCAAACTAAACTTAACGTGACCTTAGGTAGCGCTAGTGTTTAATCGTCAGGTGAATGTAATCGGGATGGGGGGGTGGGGGGGGTGGAGGACTGAGCTTCAGGTGGTCCGTCTTTTGATTATTACATCATTCTGTCAGGGTTGTGATGTTCATCCTGGAGGTAAAACTGATGATGGCGGCAACAGGTGGGCCTCAGCCACCAAGCTATGTAAATGAACCTCTGTCAGTTTACGAAACTTGACAGGTTGATTACTTAACTGAAATGGGTTGTTTTGATTTTTTTTAAGTGCCCCTTATTATGACGTGTCCTTTATTTTGACGTGTCCTTTATTTTGACGTGTCCGTTATTTCGACGTGTCCTTTATTTTGACGTGTGCCTTATTTCGACGTGTCCCTTATTTTGACGTGTAGATGTGGGTAAACTTTCCCTTGTCCGGAGCACAGCCTGTGTCGTGACTCGTGTTATAATGATACCACATGAATAAGTATTATCACTGGATGACATGCACGACTCTTATATTAAGGATTGTCAAACATGTCGTGTCTAAAGGTCATAGGCTAAATTTGGGGGATCACCTGTAGATCAGACACCCCAACTTATTTCACCTGAATATTAACCACCTTAACACAAACTTAACCTATCCTAACCTGACTAACTTAACATTATCTAACCTAACCAATCCTAACCTATCTTAAACTCATTAGGTAGCGTCAGGGTATTTAATCATCAGATGAAGTGAAGTTGGGTGCCTAATGTTCAGGTGATGCAACAAGATGAGAGATGTGTTGAGGTATAGCTGATGACTACTGCCAGTGATCTATACACATTACACGAGGATACGATGAACAGGTGGTGGAGGTGGCAAAGGTACTTGTAAAAACTTCACTGAATTAAATTTCGTAGCTTGTGAAAGTGAAACCACGTACAGCTGCCATGAAACTGCTGACATATTTAATAACACACACACACACACACACACACACACACACACACACACACACTTTCATCATCTGATCCATCACTAGTCACAGTGGTTGGTGTCCCTCACCTCATAGTTCAGGTCACGATTGATAGAAATTCGTTTTTTAAATTTCGGATCATGTGGAGATGAGCTCCTCAGCTTAATTCACCTAATGATCAAACACCCCAACACTTTATGGTGTTTAATCATCCTGGGGTTGCTAATATTCATGTGATCAGAAAGTCTCGCGTTTGGAGAAAAATGAAAAACACAAATTACGACGCAAAATTCCTCCAGGATTTGACTGTAAACAGACTCATCATCTTAACACAATTTAAAGGAAAATGGGTCATAACTGCATTTACTGAGTCTGGACATACTCCCAGCAGCGTAACACTATGAGTTAAAACTCCTTCACAAGACTGGTAGCTGAATGTTCACTCAATGGTCGAGTCAGTTTAAAAAAAGCTTGTTATAAAGTTTAGCTGGTAAGATACCGTTGAATGCAACTCACTTTCATTCATCATCAACGTAATCAAAGCTCTCTATTACAGTAAAAAGCGTATAATGAGACGTTCAAGCCTTAATGGATCTCATTATGTACGATTATTTTAGTGAGGGGAGAATATTATGATCTATTTATAGATGTATGAGGAGGTTTTGATCTCTAAACAGACCCTAATATATAATTTTAATATAATGTTGACATTAAAAGTGGTGACGTGATATATTACACCAATGAAAGTAAATTTTATAATAATACAGGTACGTGACGTCAGTGAATGATGAGTTTCCAGTTTGTGTGTTTGTTTAGTTAACGTGGAGTGTTGTACCTTACGCGCTAGTCCGCCGAGCTCTGATGGAAGCCCTGGATTCATTGTTTTATGAGTTTTCTGTTTATTTTTTGTTTTCGGGTTGTTGGAGAAGAAGAAATAATGCAATGTTTCTTATTTCTGTTGTGTTGACATACAGAAGATATATAACAATTCACAGAGGTTGCCGGTTAAAAAAAACATTATTGTATATATTAAAATTTGCGCTGCTTAATTTAATACGCTGTTTAACATTATAAAATAGCCAAATTATACCTAAAGTAGGTTAAGTTAAGTTGTGTGTGGAGCTATTCATGGCCAGTCAGAAGTTTAAAAAAAATGCACGGAAATTATCGTTAATCGGCAATTATATAATTATTATCAACGTTTTTAACATTTCAAACACTTACCAGCTTACTAGTCGTTCACACGGTCAGTTTGTTCTTTATTACGACATTCATAGTCCAGTGTTAGTACAGGAGGAAATCGGAGTAACCGGAAAAATCCTACGATGTTTGTCAGGGTAACACTAGATGACACCGTTCTCATATCCGTCCCTGGGTTTTAAAGCCACGACTGCAGAGGCGACAAGCAAACGGGCTACCCCTGTACAGGTACAGTTGTGGAAATGTGTTACTACATCTCCTGCAGTAACCCGTGTCTCTAAACGACCAACCTACATGACCTACAACAAACCTATCCACCAATCACGTCCGTCGCTACAGGAACAGTACCCATTCTTTCATAAAATGTGATACTACTACTACTCCGACGTTGCCGTTTGGAGACATGGGTTACTACAGGGGTGTAGGAACATATTTCCGCAACTGTACCACCAACATCTCTTGTGTGTGTGTGTGTGTGCTTCCGTATTTGTATATTCGTTCGCATGACCATGTTTGTTTGTGATGGTTTATGGAAGCGTAAAGAGGCAGAGAGGTACGGCAAACCCCCTCCACCATCCCGTCATTTAAACCAGCTTGCAAGAACATACACACTGTTAACTTGTCCTGTGAGGGTCGTCCCCCAGCTGAGAGAGAGGCAGGGAAGCCCTCAATCACCACTCACATAATCATTCAGAAATCTCCGCTGATCTAACTTGACTTGTTGTTAGGCTAAAACTGGAATATAATTTGTTACATCAAAATCTATCTTAATGACGAATTTTAAGGCATATCCAAAAGCCTTTGACCTTACAGTTCCTACGTCACTGATAAAATGTGTTTTTTTTCGTATTTGAATGACTCCGTGCAGCATTTGGAGCAGATTAATGTAAACATGGCCGGAATGTTTGAGAAGAGGTGGGTCTTCTTTCGGTATTTAAAGTTCAGAATTTGCCAAACGGTCTTGCCACTATCCAACCCACAGTCAACAGACCCACTCACAGAAAGATACACATCACAATTCAACCTACAGTCGATAGACCCACTCCCAGACAAACACGTCACAACCCAACCCACAGTCAACAGACCCATTCACAGACAGACTCACATCACTATCCAACCCACACTGAGAGCAAGACGACCAGTAATGGGGCAGGTGAAGGAGGACACACAAAACACAGGCTATGACTGGCACCTGCAGCCGGCCGTGTAAGCACAAGACCCGCCGGGAAAATAACGCGATTCCACGAGGTAAAAATAACAGCTGAGGGATTAGTATGTGTGTGTGTGGGCAGGCAAGTCTGGGAGAAGTATAACTAATATCAACACTGCAGCTGACGTCTGAGAAAACAGTGTTGGAGGCCCCGGGTGTTTTAAGAACAAGTTGCAGTGAGTCAAACGTGATGATTTTATACACGTTCCTAGGAGGTAGACGTTGATGTTGTGGGCACAGTGTACAAGGAGGTAGATGTTGGTACAAAATACAAGTAGATAGATGTATATGTTGTGGGTACAATATCTCTGCAGATAGATGTTGATGTTGTGGGTACAAACACACGATGTTTTGTTTTGTGATTTTTTTTCAGGAAATCCCCTATAAGAACGTTGTGGTGTTCAACTTAATATTAACGTTGTTTAGTATTTTCAGAGATGATGGAATCGCTGGTTTACGGAGGTGGTGGTGGTGTACTAATGTGGGCGTGTACTGGTGTGTGTGTGTGTGTACTAGTGTGGGCGTGTATTGGTGTGCGTGTGTACTAGTGTGGGCGTGTATTGGTGTGGCCGTGCACTAGTGTGGGCGTGTATTGGTGTGCATGTGTACTAGTGTGGGCGTGTATTGGTGTGGGTGTGTACTAGTGTGGACATGCACTAGTGTGGGAGTGTATTGGTGTGGGCGTGCATTGGTGTGGGCGTGTACTAGTGTGGGGTGTATTGGTGTGGGCGTGTATTGGTGTGGGCGTGTATTGGTGTGGGCGTGTATTGGTGTGGGTGTGTATTGGTGTGTGCGCGCACTAGTGTGGGCGTGTCTTGGGATGGGCGTGTACAAGTGTGGGCGTGTAGTAGTGTGGGCGTGTAATAGTATGGGCGTGTAGTAGTGTGGGTGTGTAATAGTATGGGCGTGTAGTAGTGTGGGCGTGCTTAGTGCGATAATATATTTGTGCATTTTTTTCATAAATGTAGTTTGGGATGAGTGTGGGTGTGTCTACTGCTATAATATCTTATTTTTCTACTTTCACAGATGAGGATTACGCTGGCGGTTATAGTGGTGGTGGTGATGGGCGTATGTGGGTGTGAGGGGGAGGTAGCCAAGAGGTACACATGGGGGGACGCCCTCATAGACCCACTAGCCCTGGGTCCCGACGGTAACCCCTACCCCAGGTGAGTATCTGTCTGTTCAGGTGTTCTCATCTCCTAATTAGTTCTAACATCATCATCCTTAGAAGTCTCCTCTTCTTCCTCATCCTACCGGGTAATCCTCACATCCTTCTTCTCCTCCTCTTGAGTAGTCCTCCTCTCTTGATTATAATAAGAATAATGATAATAAATGCAAGATGATGTCTATAATGAAATTGATGAAGGTTATGATTATAAAAATGTAATGTAATGTTAATGATAATACTGCATCACTACGACCCTAAAGTAGCTTCAGTATGGGTATATTAGGTTAAATTGGGTGAGGTAGGTTTGCTCTTGTAGGCTAGAAAATGAATGGCGGTCCTGGTAGGTTAATGTTTTAACTCAGACCAGTTTACACCTGCAGTACATTAACCTCCAGTACCTCAACCTCGGTCAAAGTTAAGTTTTAGCATTGATCATTTTACGATTGTATATCATTCACAGCGCCCTGGTGAACCGACTTTTCTCAGAGGGAGAGTTTGGACCACCTAGGAATGCCCGACGTGGCCGTACACTGCACGCCACCCTCGACCCCGCCACTACCAGGGACAACCTCCTCACCAAGTACCGCCGAGCCAACACACAACAGCTACCCGAGGGTCAGTGTCATAGCAGTAGCATAAGTAGTAGTAGTGACAGCAGAGTTGGGATCATGGGTAATATGAATGATAATTATTTAATGTAAACAATAATAATAATAATAATAAATAATGATAATTGTTAGGATTGCAATAATTGTTTCAAAATCCTAATGTTACAACTATTTCAAAAGTTAATCATAGTTCCAAAATTGCCTAAGAATTACAACTCTTTAGGATTCCATAGTATCTTGCTGTACACTATGTTTGTTAATTTTCTGTGACAAATTGTGAACTGGACCAAAATAATTATACGCAAACGCTAATAAGATAATTGTAAGGTTGGTTCAAATAATTGCTGAAGCAGTCAAAAAATCCTTGAACAAAGTACTGTACTGTAATGTACTCTACTATACAACAATAAATATGGAGTTGTTCGAAAAATAATTGTAATCGTAATCTCATACCAGATTGATGTCATATTTTGAATATAATAGGCCGTGAAAATTGTATATGGGCAGTGGTTAATACTAAAATATTATCAGTATTCCGGAGCAGAATAATTCCAGATTATATAGAAATCAAACTATGATAATTTGACATCTAAATAATTCCAGAGAACGCTTCACTTTGATAATAGCAAGTTATCACTATAATCTAAAATACATTACAGTGCTTAAAAAAAATTGGCTATGGTATTTTGTCGAAATAATCACAAATAATTTCCTAAAGTAATAATCTGAGAGTATGACATATAATTATCATCCCACAGGTCGGAGTATGTCGTTATCACCAGTAGAAGAGAACCTGGTAAACATGGCCGCCTCTTTCAAGTCCTCTGTTTCCTCCACAACCACCACCACTTCTTCTTCTTCTTCTTCATCGTCGTGTCCTCCAGGTCCTCCTGCTAGGCTGTGTCAGACGCGATTCAACACGACAGCGCCCATGTACGGCCTCAGCCTCACATCAGGGCAGCCCGTGACCATCGTGCAGAAGTTCCCTGACCTCCTGCAGCAGGTCATATTCGAAGTGTGCGAGTAAGTGTTGGGGTGGGGCGGTGATTTTGGTGTTTATCTTTAATGTTTGATTCTGAGTAGTGTGAGTTGTACATACATGCACATTCACTTACACAGTCTTGAATACACTTTGTATATATTTGTTGAAATTTGACTTGCAAGGAACACACAAAAGAGAATATAGCCTAAAAAGAAGGACATCCAATGACATACTTCTTAAAACTAAATTTGCCCAAAGAACATACGTTTTAAACTTAGTTATATAAGCGAGGTATGAGGTTAGAGGATAATGTTAAAAATATGTTACACTGACAGAAAAACAATTGGAGAAGTACAGATTACCAAAAACTTTAAGAAAAATACTTGAATTTTATAAAATAAGGAAAATTAGATATTTTGGTCATATAATTAGGAATGGGGGATAAGTTAAGGGTGGGCGGTTAGGGGAAGGCATGGAAATGCAAAATCTCTAGAGGGCTGTGGTCGCCAACCCTCAGATGTGAAGATGACACTTTTAAATGAGTGATTGATATAACAGAAGGAAACAATTCTCTGACTTATTTGTGCCCGAAGGACAAAATGTTTTCTCTGAATATGCCCAAAGTGCATTTCAGAAAATGGTTTCTTTCGGGCATATTTGGTCAGTGTATTCACTTTGAATTATGTCCTTTGGGTGCATTAAGTCAGAGAATTGTTTCCTTCGGGTATATTTAATTCGAAAATTGTGTCATTTGGTTCATAATTAATTATGAAAAGTTTCTACGGGCAGTCAGTATTTTTTTTCCTCGTATGTCATTCGGTGTCCTTCAAAATAGCTCCACTCCAGATGTAGCCTCAATCATATTCATTTGCAGTAATGCTTAAGTAATCAATGAAAACATTAGCATAGAATGTGTTGAAGATTTTCATTTCGCTTATTTATTTTTGATATACTGTATATTTTTTTTAAGTATATTATCATTAAGCTGTGGTAGGGAAGACCTCACTGACACTTTGTCCTTGTTATGCAGGAGCGAGACGTGCGAAATTATACAGGGGAAGTGCGTGCAGACGTACGTCCCGTACTTGTTCCTGGTGATCCCGCTGGGTCCTGTCACTCTCACCGGTCAGGACTACGTGCTGGTAGAGTCTGGGTGTACTTGTCAACCTAAGTACAGTCAGGCCTCTTCCATCCCCTCCCCGCTAGACGCCATCCCGGGCTTGGAGTGATGTAGACCATTACAACATTTATCTCGTGTACTGTCTCAGTAAAAGTATCAAATTCTACAAGGCTGCATACGTGGGGTTTTCCTTCCGATACCAGATTTATATGATCTCAACAGAATATGACCATGTTCGGGCACAGCCATCAGACTGACAATGATGTTCAGATGATCGCAGTGACTTCATGTTCTAAATGTCTGCACATGTAGAATCACCATTGAGTTATGTGAGTACTCATTCCTGTCTAAAATATGAATGCATGTAAGCTATTTGTGATGAGCAGTTGATCTTTAGACTGTAATTATCCGAACCACTGATAGTCATGAGTGATAGTTTGGTCTTGAACAAAGAGGACAGTTAAACAAATTAGCTAATGAAGACAATGTGGCGTTAAGATGAACTTGACAGAATAATTTCGAAAGGGGCTTAATGTGTATATTATCTCAAATTATTAAATCAAAACAAGCACTCTGGCATACAGTGTACAGCCAGATATAAAATTAATATCCATTTACTTTCTCCAGTGACATGAATTAGCATCATAATTTGCCTACGTTTAAGACGTATCTGTATAGTCATAAAGGAATACTGAATGTTGACAAAATAATTGCTTGAATATTTTTTTAATAAAGGATCAAAACAGGATAGTGGAAATATGGTTCTCATGGGATAACAATAATATGAACTCACTATTTTGGTAATCATTTGTAGATGAAGGTTGACATGAGCCATCACTTCACTGTCATCTGGTCACTGTCCATATCCTGTGCTAGACTCAGTATTAAAATGTTGATGAGACGGCTTCACGTATCAGCATTATCCATTTTTTTTATGACGGAAATACAGGTCATCGTTGTATATCTCGCACTGACGTCTATGGGTCTTGACTGAGAATTAGTATTCCTTGTTAATTTTTGCTTTTCATATGACTTATAACTAAAGAAGACATAATTTTATTATTTGTTAATTACTTCTTTACTAATAAGAAGTAATGTTTTACCAATATATTATGCCTATTGTCCTTTAGCTCATGTATATTAACTAATCCAGCATCAGTCATCAGAGAATCTTGATAATTGTAATGGTGTCATTTAGTCCAGTTCTTATAATTAGTTTTATGAGGATGTCGGTGCAGGTACAGCAGTCTCAACCACTCACGGTATATGGGAAGGAAACTCAGGTCGCCACACTCAGCGCTCGGTTGTTACACCCAAAAAGTCAATAGTTAATATGTGGATACAATTTTAGAGTACAGTGCAATAATGGAAGCAAATCCTTGTATCGTTATGATGTTAAATGTCTTTTTTGTTGTCATATTTATAGTGCAGTAAATATTCAACAATGTAATTATTCCAGTCGTTACACCACCAAGCTGCTGAACTGTACTAAATTTTCATACACATCAAGTTTCTTTACTTGGGTCATAAATCCAGTCTTGATAATTTATAGAATCCAGATGAAGCATAAAGCCTTTTGCGGTGTTCTTTGGTCTTGTGGCTACAACCTTCAGTGCTTGTTTATGTTTTGCTTTATTGTTACATAAGTCCTGCCTCTCTACCATCACATTATAAACTGTAAAGTATGGATTGGGTCTAGACTTGAATTCTTCCCCACACATAACACACAAAATAAAAGAAACACCCCCTTTTACCTTTAGTCAGGGAGGCGGGTTAATTTTGTATTACTTCATGCAGGCTAACCTACCACGGCATGTGAGACGGACACAATTGGCCTCATTCAAATGGCATGTGTAGTCTGATGCCGATGTACAGTAATGATGAGCAAGAGAGTTATGGCACTTGGCAGGAAATAATTTTTTTTAGCATATTTGTTACATTTTTCTCAGTTTTTAATTGTTATTTAAAATGTGTTTACTAGTTTACTGTGATGCCATTAGCCAATAATTAGCCGCTTTTGTTATTTAACTTGTTATATTTATTGTTATTCTGGGGGGGGGGGGGTTGTTATCACGAAAGGACGTTAATGTGAATTTTACATATGTTGGTGAAGATAAAGGAGGTGTGCTGGGTGGATGATATACAATGTCCAGTTTCTACTGTTTTAGTTATGTTAACTATACTGTATATAACCTACAGAATCTAGTTCTCATGTTCTGATAATGTTGTACAACTACTTATGTCAAGATACTGTTGCCAAAGTCGATGAGATTCACATATTGTCCATGTTAGCTCAGTTTCATGACACGAGTGTGTGTTTCCTTTACTTTTACCTCTGCTGCCACCACCAGGAGGCTTTTTTTAGTCCGTCCATGCATCCATCCGTCCGGCGGAAGTTTTTCACCTTGGCTGTGGTATACAGTATACTATATGTAGTGTAGCTGTTTTACAAAAAAAAGTCCCTATTGATTATGATATACAGAAGTTATTGGGATGCGCTGGAAAAGTAAGTGTTCCATATTGTTTCATGTACACTTGTACAGTATGTGTAACTACTTGGTGAGTAATATACTTAACAGGTTCAGATGAGCCTTGAGCACTGGTGTTGTCAAAGACATACATAAAAGACAGTGATTGGCTGTAGTACCTTATTATAGTGAATTACTAGCTATTATTTATTCTCCATAAACAGATTGTCCACTACTTTCATCATAGTATGTTTTGTTCTGCTGTGATCTTCCTAAGGTTTTATGTTAATGCTATTTATTATCTATTTATTTCTCTTGTTTAATTATGTTATCTCTGACATGTTGATGTGATTGTTGCATATAATTAATAAAGATTTTTAAAGTCAGTAACATATTATTACAATATTATGGAAAAAATCTTAAATTAAGTGACACTATTGCATATTCTTATTCTGAAATTGAACACAGCATCTTGCTCCATCCAGTGCTTGTGTAGGTTTGCACATTTATTGACGACTAGACCACCTTCTCAGGTTGGATGTTCTCTGCTTCAAAAATCCGACCCAAGATGTGATGTCTAAACTTCGTGTACACAAAGATGATCTCCCCTCACCCAACTTTTCCATTAGGAGTTATTGAGATGGAAACAGTACAGTATTGGCCCAGACTCTTACTGAGGTCCTACCTTCGTGTGCACAGGCTTTAAAGGCATGCAAAGGTATGGCCGTTAGCAACATACTTCATAATGACGGATGCGTCTAACCTCAGGCAAGGAAGTCTTCAATCCACATGATGTTTGAGCATTTTCTAACTACTTGTTACCGCCACAGTAGGATATGTTACCGCCACAGTAGGATAAACTAGAAGAGAGAGAGAAAGAGAGGGATAGAGAGAAAGGGAGACAGGAAAGAGACAGAGGGAGTGTTGACAGCGAACTTTGCTGAGGTTTTACATGTGAAACAGATGATCCTCGCCTCGGGCTGACTCGCTCGACTAGTCTCTAGCCGTCCAGTGAGCTATCAAGTCAGGGAGCTAATAAGTCCTACATTAGACCCGAAACACGTAAGATTTTATATGGTTTAACACCCTACTCTACTCAAGTATATTATATGTAGTCGTTAATAGTGAAGGAACGTACGAGTGAATTAATTATCTCATACCTAACATATGTTATTTGTACTCTGCAGGTTTTGACCTAATAAAGAACAATCGAGTCCTTCGTGCAAGGGTCTCATTATCCCACAGTCGCTCATTGGGCGGTTACACTACTTATTAACACATCAACTCAGTTTATTGTTATACGTGTACCCCAAGACTCACAACCATTATGACGTAATCTTTTATTAGGTGCAGAAGCTAAGCAATCCTTCTTTTACTTGTTATATCAAAGAGTTTATTTAGGCTATCAAACCTGACTGTTAATTCGGGTGCCAATATGCACGGACAATTGAGTTGGGATAATGTTTTGACCAATGCATTTATGACAGTTTAGATGATCTCAGATTATAACATGTGATGAGGCATACGTCAACATCAGAAGCCGTGAATTGTAACACGGTGTTAATTTTATAATCCATTCATGAAACGCTTACACCAGTATATTCTCATGAATTAGTGCATCGAATACTCCAATTATTTTAATTAAACAGCACTCGTAATTAATTAGTTCTGGACTTTTACCTATTCTAGGAATGAAATTAAATTTCTTGAAAGAAACTACATTAAAACGTACTTGTAGGCATCCAGTGTCATATATGCCTTAATGGAGTGCTTCTTGGTACATTGGCAAGGGCTGTCAATGAGGTATGCACATGCAACGCCAAAAGTAGCAACAGACTATCCTTTTGGGTTATAGCTCCATTCCTTAGTAGCAGTGGGGTAAAAAAACAAGATTAACCTTCAATATTCAACATGTTGATGTATCTTGCTTTTATTTGACAGCTCAAAACTGCATAAGAGGTTGAAGAAATCCAAGGAGTATCTGGCAAATAATTCATTTCTGACCCACCTCGAGAGCACGTGTTGCCCACAGCCCCAATATCTTTTAACTGGACTGATTACTTATTTATCAAATCATGCATTATCTGTACTGGTAAATCTTTACCTTACCAAATTCCCATCATCGCTTTCGTGCTGGGTGTTTGAGGGAGGCAGACTTGTCCATTTTTATACAAGCAAATTATGGTAGTTTACTTTGGTCTAGTGTGTTCAGATTGGCTTTGTTTTATTATGAAGAATGAAATCATCGCTTGCTACTATCTAACGTAGTATTTTTTTCTTCTATATAAGAATGTAATACAAAACTCTACAAAGTTGGAGAAGCCTTTGATGATTATGACTAGGAACACTCAATGTGCAAAGTGGAAACAAAAACTGAAAGGCCATAATGAGGACTACTGTGATCACTAGATATTAATGACAGTTTTATTTAAATAAGGTAATATCAATACTTTTTCCACTCAGGTGGGGATATTTTTATGTACCTTTGATAAATGTCCTAATTCTCTGACTGTTTTCAAAATAAATTCTGAATTGGGGTACAGATACTATGAAACAAGCGCTGAGCAGGGTTACAACTAATTCATAGATACATTTGTTTTGTTAATAAGCTACTTTATTTAGGTTGTGACGACTCATTCCCCTCTTCACTCATAACAACCACTTGCTCCAACTTGACACCAGGAGAAGAAACTGCTTCACGAAGCTACTCGACCCCAGTAAGCACCTATCTGAACCAGTTTCCCATCCGACTATGAGACGAGCTATCGAGGCAAGTGTGTGTGCCTGGTAAGAGGTAAGCTCAGTTTAGTCTCTTTTCTGCGGCCTACGGTGTCTCTATTCTCTCGGAGTGTGGGCGCAAAATTGTATTACGGATTACTGCTGGTGATGGTTTGCTGGTAGTGGACTACGGCGGTAATCCCTGGTTCCTTGTGGTTGGCATCGCATCTTAGACATGCTACCACCGAGCTGCCATTTCTATCAGGTTTTTGTATTGCTGTATGGTAGAGATTTTTTCTCCGTAATATGATGAAAATTTCTATGAGAAATGCGGCTTCTTGGTCTTTTAATAAACTCTTGGCTTTAAGTGAAACTGGGTTCCAAAGGCATGATTGCTCGTTTGGGACAGTTAGGGATATTTGAAAGATTTGGCCAAGAAGAATGGAAAATGAGTCAACTGGTGTATATATAAAATTATATAACTGTCACGCTGAATAATTAGAGTAGGATGATCCCTCCACACCCCTTTGCGAAAGGGCTTACCATTCTCTCCCAACTTCCTCCACACCGACTATAAGTCGTGCACAATATAGACTCGCCTTTATACAAGTAAGACATCCCACTTGAGAAGACCTGGCTATGGGCCTGTATCTGCGCCTGTGAATATACATATAAACATTACCTGTATGTATACAGTATACCCACTTGCACTTTATCCATATCTGTGCGTAGCCTCTTGATCTATCCGAGTCACATCATTGTTTAGGGCTGTGTTAATACGGTAAATTTATTTTGATTGTTGACTCCATGAATATGTTTTGATGCAGTCCCCAAATTTAGAGAGGCAGGAAATATTTTTTAATAGCTGGAACAGGAATATTTGTAGTAAAAAGGGAAGTTTAATAATTATTTATTGTCATTATAGTTACAGTATTGCACCTGATTTCCTTACATATCTATCCTAACTTCATATTTTTTGTCTTCACTCGGCGCCGTACGCTCACAATATTCAAATTTGAAACGTACGAGTCTTGAGTGTAATTAGTGAAGAAACGCCACATAACGATAGTTAATAATCAACATCATCAGTAGTATAGTTAACAACCAACATCATCAGTAGTATAGCATTTTTATTTTTCCTGCAGACTGCCTGAAGTGAAATAGCGCCTGTAGAATGTATATACCTTATAGTCACTGGTCAGTAGTGGTTAGACAAGACAATGCTGAATTTTATCTGAACTAAATGATTCAGATAATCGTTCAAAAAAATATTTTATATAGTTGGAAGATGAATGTCTCTGAATATCTGTCTACATCCAGACTGAAATGTGATCACTAAAAAGAGATGAAATAGGTTTGAAAAAACTGGCCATTGGTCAGAGGGGTCCAGCCCACGAGTAAGCCCCTTTGACCCCCAGAACACAATTCTGAAGTCGATTAAATATATATATATATATATATATATATATATATATATATATATATATATATCAGCACCAAGTGTCTGGTGTCGAGCTGAACGAGGATTAACTAGTGTGGGAAATGCCTGTCACCGTTTCGACCAAAATAGGGAACTGCAAGCTTACGTAATCATAAGTAAAATTTTACAGAACCCACTATGAGTATTGTGGATATATTTTGCATAATTTGAGATGATTTTTGTCGTGCCAGGCACTTCAGAGAACATAACAGGTTTTATGTCCAACAAATTTCTTCTCAAGTCTTGTCTCCCACTGGCTGGCTCCAGGTATTTCGTGCAATATGTTCTCAATATCTCCGTCATCCTGTTTATTTACCCATACACACATCAGTGATATCAGCCTCCGTCTACTGCTACTCATGTACTTCGTGTCAGTACGTATAACAACCACCAAGTGTTTTAGGTTCATGATGTCAAGACCAGAAACATACCGTTGATCTTGTCAGTGTTTCACAACTCATGCGTGGTTCAATGTAGCCTATTTATCTTTGCTATTATAAAGAAGGAACTAGTTTCACTAATACTTTGTCCACAGAAGAAGGTTTGTGGAAGATCAAAAGATATTTATGTTTCCAAGAGAATACATGAACTTAACATATGGCTTCCTGTGACTGTCTTGTTATATCTGACTTGTTTCAAATGGTTATCACGGTAATTATCACCCCGTGTCTAGAAATATAAGTTGATATTTTTATTTAATCACAATTTTTTTCTTTAAAAAATTCATCAAAAGAACCGACCCCATGGAGTTCCTTGAGAATCTAGTAATAATGTTCACAATGCATAATTGGCAACTCTGTTATGGATATACAGTGGAAAATTAAATTTTTTTTAGAATTTCACATTATCATTTCATAATGAATAACATTATCAAACCAAAAAAGATCTCGTGTTGGTTTTGTAAAATTATATCATATTAACTCACGTAAGTAAATTATAGGATTATTTCTAGGAAGAGTTGAAATGCGAGTCTTAAGCGTTGACACTCGACGTAAATGCTCACAACAGAGTTTATCATACATGAGGCGCGATGGTAGCCTACTTCCCGGCGCTGCGCATGCGCTGTTTGAGCTGATGCAGTTTTGTGAGGTAGTGAGCGTTGTCCGTCTTGATGGAAGAATAGGTGGTGGCGATGTAGTCCGGCAGCTCAATACCCACTGAAGAGGAAATGATGAACATATTAGTCATCTCTAACTGGTGAGATGTAGATCTCGTAATTTCTAACTGTTGTTGTCTAATGTAATGATCTAACTCAAGCCTGCTAGCACTCTCAGACTTTTCTCAGATTTGTCTGCACAGAAGTTTACGTAGACAAAAATGAGCTGCGCGTTTTTCCTGCACAAACAGCTCAGTTCGCAACAGATTTCAGAGCATGCTTACCGCAGAGGAAGAGCTGCTATCTATTTGTGCTCTGGCATGTGTAGTGAAAAAAGTCGACTAAAATAAGCTGAAAAGAAATTGGTTATCCAGAAAAAAACTAATTTATCATGTAATTTTATTAACAGGATTACAACTGGAGGCTAATGATTGGTATAATTATCTTCGAATTTGCGAAGAAAGATATTTTTTTTTACGGGGATTATCCCACTCGGGCACAGGTCACTGACCCACATCGAGGCCTGGGGGGACGAAAATGTAATAATAATAATAATAGTAATAATAATAATAATAATAATAATAATAATAATAATAATAATAATTCATTGTAAATAAAATTATAATACAAAATACAAAATTTTAAATAAAATAATAATGATAATAATAATAACAACACTGTAATAATAGTAATAGTAATAATAATAATAATAATAATAATAATGATAAAGAACCACAAAGAAATACAAAATGAAAAGAAAAGATCAAAAGTGAGAAACAATATACTGTATGTATGTTGTGTTGTCAAAGTAAAAGAAACAATTGAGACCCTGCAATTGTGTGTAAATGAGGCTGAAAGTCAGATCAGCAACCTGGGACTTGGTCACAATTTTCGTGATGCCATATGGCAGCAGGGTCTACCATTAGACAATACATTATGCTTCCAATATCTTCCCAGGCGGTAGTACCTCCCTGTTTGATTGCTGCCTACTACATACCGCCTACCAGCATTGCTAGTGTCCAATATAGGCTATTTTAGATAAAGAATATCTTGATAAATACTAATGAAGATTAAAGACAAAGTGATAAATTAAAGAACAACCAGATAATTTTTAAATGACACTATTATTTTCTTTAATTTCCTTTTATAATCATTTGGAATAATTACAAATTTCATTCATTATCACATAATGTTAACACTACTGATACTACAGAAAACTAAGCAACTGATCTAAACTAGCCTAAGCACTAGCTGTTTTTTCTGCACAGTCCAAGTACATGCGGGCATCTTTTCTGGCAGGGCTTGATTTTACTGACCTAGCAAACGGTCTGTACAAACCTTCCCTTCACTCGTTAAGATTTCTCTGTGCAGACTTGGTCTCTGCAGATAAATCTGAGAAAAATATGAATGTGTGTAGGAAGCTTTAAAGTACTCGTTTAAAGATCTTGGTTGCCAAAGTGCAATAATACATTTTAACATTCTCTCTCTCTCTCTCTACTTCTTGACTTATCGGGTAAGGTGAAGAGGAACAGTCCAGCAGGGTGGCGCCGGTCGATCGTGTTTTGTTCGTTGTTTTTGTTTACTGTTGTGGCGGGGGTGTGTGTGTGTGTGTGTGTGTGTGTGTGTGTGTGTGTGTGTACAGGCGCGCGCTGCTTATTGACTGTGGTCTGTGTGTGTAATGGGGTAAGGTGGGGGTGGGGTTGAGACGTGGGCAGTGACAAAGTAATGAAATGGTTGTTATTTTCAAGGGTGGAAATCGATGAGTGAGAGAATACATTATGTTTTCTGGGGCTGAAAAGGGGTTTTGATTCCGTCGTCGTGGTGCTCTTTTGACATTTTTTACTGTGACGTAGTCCGCAAAATGTGAACATTCAAAAGGAATTTATTAAGTTGATAATATGCTTGACTAGGAAGCACTGGTATTACTGTACGGATTATATATTTATGTGCTTTACTGTATTTTAGAGAAACAGACAGTTTAACTAAGCAGATGGACAGATTAGCAGAAAATGTGTATAGTCAGAGTCACATAAAGAAAACGTGACGAATGACTGACAACAGAAGCACAAACGCACATGCAGGTACTCAAAGCGTGGTTAAGTAGACAGTATGGAATAAAAAGTAAAAACAAGATCAAGATAAAAATCCTAATTGAATAAAATCCCTGGCAGCTGTTTACCAACGGCCAAAACCCCAACACCGCAGAGTAAATAAAGAGGATAAAATTCAGGTTTACTTTAGTCTTAACGCAATCTTAGATTAGGTGAGTTTTGCTCAATAAAGGTTACTGTATATGAGATTATATTATAAGATAGGAGAGGCTAGGCTAAGTTATGTTGGTTTAGGATAGGATGGGAGCGGTTAGTATAAAATAAATAAGGGAAAGATTAGTTTAAGGGGAAGTGAGTGAAATCCAGGAAATTAGGTGGAGTTAGTTTAAAGGAAATTAAATGAGATTAATTTTGGGTGGTCATCTTAGAAAATGTAAGGTGGCACTTTTCTCCCATCTACAATGAGCGGCGTAGGGGTGTTTAATGCTAGTAATGAATGACGTAACGCAGACAACCCAGAACCGCCATGCCCAGCAGCCTCATTAAACAACTCCTATTTGTGTTTCTTTTCAGTGTTGAGGTGAGAGTTAAGGCAGCGAGCGAGGCGGTAATGGGGGAATTATAATGAGCAAAAATGGTCAACACAGGTGAGTAGGAGGCGGGGGAGGGAGAGGGGAGAAGAGGTGAAGGGACAGGTAGAGTGGGGGTGTAAAAGGGGAGTACCTACTGTAGGGGGAGACAGAAAAGGGGTGAGAGTACAAGGGAGGGAAGGAATGAGACATGTAAGTAACAGATGGCAGTGGCTCTCATTTGATGTGAGAACGACGCCCAAGGTAAATGTCAGTCAATATCTGTGCACACTCACTATGGTGTGGAATGTGTGTACACTCATTGCACTCTGGGTACATATTCTGTGAGTCATTAATGCTGATGACTACAGCCACCTTTATTAACACTGGCAAACACCAGCAGTATGAAGTGATACAGTTAGCATATAATATACTGTATTGTGACACACACACACACACACACACTCACGTCATACGTTTTGTGACAACTGACACATGGCAGTAATATCAATATACAGTACATTATATTTTCCAACAATTCAAATTGATCTGTATATAGGAATAATCAGTACTAATACAGTATGCCTAATCTAGCCTAGCTTAATGTAGGTATAACTTGTCCATGTAGGATAGCGAAAGAAATTAAACAAACTAAGTTCTAACTCATATGCTATAACAATATGCACGAGAAGTTATTCCTGTTCGGCGAAACGTGTTGCATTTATAACTAAATTTCTGTTAGTAAGAATTATAGTTAAGTTTACTGTTTAAAACAGAATTAAAGAAGGAAAATGACTCACGGTAACGCTTGGTGGGCGGCCTGGTGTACCATTGTGGTGAGAGAGGGAGGCGCAAGGTTGTGGGGTGTCTCCTGACGTGATGCGCGGGACGCTGACGTGGGGCACCAGTCGTGGGGAGGCGCGACAGGTGTTGACCTAGGGCCTGGTGGTAACAATGAAGATAGTGAGTGGGTGTAATGGTGATGACGGTGAGCGTCGTGGGAGTGTTAGTGAGAGGAAGGTGAGGAGGAGGATGAGCGCATGGTGGTAGTGAGAGGGAGTATGGTGGAGACAGCCAACATAATGAATTATTCTGGAGCTTCACTGTGTTGTGTCGTGAGGCAGGTCAGTGTGTGTCAGGTGCCAACAATATAGGACTTCCGCGAGCCCAAAATTACGAGGTTTTATGCTCTAATCTATAATTCATTCGTATTAAAATTATTAACTTAACTAGTAAATAGCCAAATTCACAAAACCTTAAAAATATTGCCATGGAAATCTTGATAAAAATAATACGAGTTTTAATTAATATATAACCTTCTAATAACTTCCTACAGAAGACCTGGAGTCTTTATACCCCCAAAGCATATTAAGATGTATTGCATTGATCTACTAGAAGAGTTTCCCAGACTTTAGCTGCGTCTTCCGCTCTTTACATGTCTTAGTCTCTGACTCACTAACTCATTCCCTGCCCCCCCTAAGTTATTATTTGAACTTTCTCTTATTATATTCAGGCTATTGTTTGGTAACACCATTCCTGTATATAAAGGCAAACAACTGTACGGTATATAAGCTTCCAGCACACCGCCTGTATATGTAAGCCCTTTCATAGATAACTTACCTGCAGTAGCAGGGAGGGACACCAGGTGTTGTCATCAGATAGGTTGTCCCTGCAAGAGTCACCTGCGTAGCCCATCATCACTTCTTTTCCTTCACTCTCCCCTTTGTTGCTCTTGTCTTGGGCGTTGACGGTGTAGCGATGGGCATCTCCAGCGCTCTGATAGGCGTTATCAGAGCTCTGATGGGCTTTATTGTGAAGGGTGTTGCCGTCGTTGTAATGGGCCTCTCCACTTTTCTTGTTGACAGAATTGATGTTCTGGAAAGTGTGACTCAAGTACTGGGGTAGGAAGTACTCCTTCATGTACTGCCGTGCGTCGGTGTCCTGTGGGTACTGTTGGAGAGTGCCTGCGTCCTGATTACCTGCCCAAGGGTACTGACGGAAGGAGTTGAGGTTGGTGTGTACATTTGCTATGTGTTTTTGAACCCTGTCAGGGATTCCGCGGAAGTACTGTTGTAGGAAACCCGGATCCTGGAGAACGACGTCGAAATACTGTTGAAGGGCGTTAGCGTCTTGACGAATGCTGTTGAGGTACTGTTGCACGACGCCAGGATCTTGGAGGATGTACTCCAGATAGTTTCTGACAGTGTCGGGATCTTGTGGGTTATCGTCCAAGAACTGCCTGAGAGCGTCGTTGTTTTGTTGGATGTCTTCATAATACTGCCACGTATCATCCGGATCTTGTTGGATATCGTCCAAACGCCGAAGAACATCGTCATGATCTTGTATATTGTCTAAGTCTTGGATGATGTGGCTGGGGTGGCTGGCGGAAGCGGCCTGGGTGGACTGGAGGTGGTAGCGGGCAGCAGCAGGAGTCAGGTGTAACAGAACTTGCAGAGTGACGACGGGCAGGAGGACCACACATCCCAACACCACTCTCATGGCTGCAGACACACACATGATATAGTTATGATTCACACTGAGGAACAAAACCAGCTCGAGTGATATCATCCGCACAATAACAACTATCACTACACAGCTTCTAGTAAATTGTCAATGTGATAAAGCTATCTGGGGAGAGACCAAGTGTTCTCTGAAACTGATGATTCAAGGCAAATTAATAATGCAAAGAAAATATATGGATAACCCTCAAGACCTGTCAGAGTAGCTCAGCGTGTTTCTCATTGCTTATATATAAAGCTGGGTCATTGGTGTGCCTCGCTGAACACGCGTAGCTTTTATTTGAAGACAAAAATAGTGTGTGTGTGTGTGTGAATAAAGAACAGGAGGCAACGGAGCGTAACCACAATCTGGAACAAATTAATGTGAAGCTGGGGGAAGAGAGAGAGAGGGGGAGGGGTAAAGAATAGGGAAATTGGGGGGGAAGAGAAGTGGAGGAGAATTAGTAGTCAGGCTTCACACTCACTCGCCCTACCAAATCTCATTTTGTTTTGTGTGAAGGTTCTCCCTAAAGGACATTGGGGGTTCGGCGGAGGAGGAAGAGGGGAGGAGAGCTACTAGCGTGTTTAAAATTAGTTCTTTACGGCAACACTGGGAGGTGGGTTGAACACGATGAGTTTATGACGGCTGGTGGTGACACAGTGGCAGGTTTGTGAGGTGATCATGTAACGTTAATTTGTGGTGGCGGTGTGAGACTACATGCACGGTACTGTAATCTCTTGTCACGCCTGCACCCTGCCACACACGTCTATACCTTGTGACACACGCCCACGCCCTGTTACACACACACACCCACGCCCTATCATACACACCCACACCCTGCCAAACACACCTACACCCAGCCACACGCGCCCACACCCTGTCATACATTCCCTCAACCTGCTACACACGCCCACACCCTCTCACACACGCCCATTTCTTGCTACACACTCCCACATCTTGTCACACACGCCCTCACCTTGTCATACATGTTCATGAAATGTCCCTTCACGCCCACACCTAACCACATATGCCCAAAACCTGCCACACACACACTCACACTCTGATATACACATTCACACTGCCACACACACACACACACACCTATACTACCACACCCACTCATACTCTGCTATTCACACTCACACTCTACCACACACGCACACACACACTCTGCCCCCCCACACACACTCACGCTCTGCCCCACTCACTCTCATACTCTGTCACACACACTCGCATACTCTGCCGCACACACTCTCATACTCTGCCGCACACACTCTCATACTCTGTCCCTCACACACACACTCACGCTTTGCCACACACACACACTCACGCTTTGCCACACACACACTCACACGCTCTGCTACATACACACACGCTATGTCACACAAACTCACTCTGCCATACACACTCACACTACCACACACTCACTCTCTGCCACACAAACAGGGCCAAAACCCGCAAATGCTCGGCCAACATGGAAAAAGGATGGAATATTTGCTATTTTGCAAAATGACTGGCAATATTGCTGCTCAATTTAAAAAAACGCCAAATAATAGTTTTACCAAGTCATATCATAACTACAAGACTATTGGTGAATGTCATAGTTATGGTAAGTCAAGGTAAGAAGAGAGGATTCGTTGGCCTGTTAACGAACTATCTTGTTCAGCAGTTTAACCACTAGTCATGACGGCCTCACTGGAGGCAGTAGTGAGGTGATGCGGTAACCTCCGCGACACCAGGTTTATGTGCCTGACCTGTCCTTCCCGCGCTCCCATCATTACCAACAGTGCCCGTGTGGTGTACCCGAAACAGAGAAAGGAAAAGCGGACAGTGCATCAAGTTTGTTATCGAGGGATAAGTACGAACGCATTATAAATAGTTTGTATGAACTTGAAAAATCGGAGTCGTAAAAGACTCTGAAAAACTATCGCGTGTTAAGGTAGTATGAAGTATTAGTACAGTAGAAGGAACCACTGTGCGAAAGTTATGAAAATGGGGACTTCTAGAATTGTCTGTGCTGAAGATCAATTGGATATAATCAAAGCCGCTCAACTCGCTCATGGGTATAGAGGCGGAAATATTCTTTACAACAAGTCAAAACATGTTAACATTACAATAGGTCAGATAACACCGTACCAGCAGTGTGTCAATTGAAGAAGACTACAGTAGTGTCCGGAAGTATCTGGTTATTAAGCCAACCGTATCCAACAGCATGTAATTACGATGCCAGGTAAATAAGCAACTTCTGATTTATCTATTTGTGATTATTTTGCTATAATATGTATTGAAACTTTACTGAAATTGCGATGTGTAACCTAAGAAACGCAGTAAGTTGGTTGGGTGAAGTCTAGTCTGACTACTGTTACAGAAAGGTTAAGACGCAACACACCTACAAGCAAATGTCGCTCCAACACAGTTATAATTTACGGTAACCTGTGGTGTAATTGGTCCTTATGCTCGTCTCGCAAGCGAGGGGTATCGGGTTCGATCCCCGGGCAGGATAAAACTATGGGCAAGTTTCTTTGCAGGATTTGTCTGTCTACCCAGCAGTTCACCCCCAAACAATATTTTAATCCACTTCTCCTGGATTTTGGTTAAAATTTGACCAAAAGAAAAAGAAATGGATGACACGGGTCGTCTTTGTCTCCGTTTACTAATGCTGACGTTAGTGTCTGGGTGTGACTGGTTAAGAGCTACAGTGATAAAGTTTGTTCCACAGATCTGTCCATAAAATGAAGGGGTCATATTTTTCCAGTGTCCATGTAGCTGGCGGACTTCATCTCTTGTGTTAACGATAAAGTTGCCATAGTGGAAAAATTAAGTGGATCGTACGTGCGTACGACTTTGGCAAGAGGCCTCGGAAACGCGTTTAATAAGCCCACTCCTGTGAGGGGAGCTGGCTCCCGAACGTGTTCACCTAGCTCCAGAACGACTGAGAAAGCGGCTCCAAGTAACTTATTTTATTTCGGTAATTACAGTATAATTTCGACGTTATTTTATACCAACACTAAATGCATAGTATCGAAAAGTGTGTGGTTGTGGCCTGGTGACTGAACCTTTGCAGTGGCATTTTTCGAGATTGAGGGTGAATTGGGCCCTAGATCTAATAGGCCTTAACCTAATCATGAGGATTAAAGTGTCATAGGTTTGGGACCCATACGGCCAGTTACACTTTACGGCTGATCAATTAAACTGGAAGCTGTACTATATAACACTGTTGTTAATAATATATTAACTGAGTCCTCAACAAAATTATGACAACGTTTTTTAAGAATCGTAACTGGTGTGTGTGTATAGGGGGTGAAGCCTGTATTCATCCTTAAGTCCTCATGGTTAGGGATTACTTTCATTAGGGACGAAGCAAACCGTACTTCTAGTGACTATATAACATTTGTGTAATTATTTCGTGACTCGTCGCCGCCATCCAAGCTATAAATGTTTCAAATGTGTAGTTATAATTTAGGAGTCGGGAGCTGTGTTTCAGGGAGTCGGGAGCTGTGTTTCAGGTTGTGGCAGTTTTAAATGTGTACCTGAAGTGGTTTTATAATAATCCAAGGAACCGTATTTCAGCTTATGACCGCTCTGATTGTGTAGTTGAAAAAGTTGTTTTTAAGTGAATTAAATCGAGAGCCTCGGTGTTTGTTCACTCAGAACTTTTAAATCAAAGACAGCGGGAAGGATGCTGAACTTGGCTCTCTTTTCCGAGTGTATTGTCTTACCTGTGCTAACTGTTTGCTGATGTAGGTGTCCTCAGTTACAGCTGTTGGCCACACCTGCCCACGACAACTGCTACTGCGAACAACACAGCCTGACCCGGCCTCCCGCGCTTTTATTTCCTCCTCTTGAAGGCGGGACTCGTTCCCTGGCCAATCACCGCTCGCCACGTCACCAATGCACGTCTTTCCAAGATAGAGGGATGGACCTGTGACGTAATGTTGATCTTTTGTCTTATTTTTGTATGGATTTCATGTATTTCAACTTTTATTGGAAGAGGCATTGAGCGAAAATGTGTGTTTAAAAAAAAGTTCCACCCACGGGGGTCCCACCAAATGGACCAGTCGGCAGGCGTCTAAGTTCTTTATTGTTGGCAAAAAGTAAATTATTTTGTAATAAAAGTTAAAAAGAGCCGGAGGAAAGAGGTGACTACCTGAGCTCCAATACCGGGTGAGGGACCGTGGGTGTGCTCTTGGTGGGGGACGGGGAGTGACCCCCTATTCATCAGCGTCGAAGCAGTGGCAGGCGGAAGTGTTCAACTTCTACCCTTATCTTTATTACACACACAAAAAAAAATAGTCACCGCCGTAAGACAGGACGACGCATATCTTAAAGGATTGTCAAGGAGATTTCCAGTGTTTTGTGGTAAAAACCTTTTCATTATTATTTTTGTTATTGTTTATTATTATTATTTGTGATATTCAGGATGTGATCTACGTTTTTTTCACGATTCAGGCCAATAAATACTTCTTATTTCCTCCTTCATCCTTTCATAATCGCCACTGTCGTATTTGATCCTTGGCCTGCTCTCATCATGTGCCAAGTGTGTAACGTGGTCACCATACCTTCCTCATTGGTTATGATAAAGTCCAGCGGTTTGGGTGTTTGGGCCTCTCTATAGTGAAGCAGATGTTTAACATGTTGTAATAGAAAATTGTTTCTCAGAGTTTCTACAAAAATAATCACATGATTAGCAAGGTAATTTGATGTAATTTCGTTCCTCCAATCGATGTCGCCATAGTCCAGTTCCCCATGACAAGGAGGTGGGTAAGAGTTCGAGCGCTATTGCTCGTAGGTTGCAATTCGGGTACCTACATATGCAACCAACAATAAGTAAGTCACTTCCCTTCAATTTAGTTTTTCACTACTTAGACCTCAAAAACCTCCTCTCCCTGCGCCCTCACCTGGCCTGGTTGAGGGTGTTGGTTGTCATCGCTGGTTGAGGGTGTTGGTGGTCATCGACGGTTGAGGGTGTTGGTAGTCATCGACGGTTGAGGGTGTTGGTAGTCATCGACGGTTGAGAGTGTTGGTGGTCATCGTTATATATTGTACGATGAATGACTACGAAACTATCCGAAACGGCGACGAAATCCCTCAAGCAACGAATGTACCACAATTTACCCCTCCCACCCAGTCCCTCCACCCCAATCCCCCCAACCCTACTCCTAAACTTCCCACTACCTCTATCCCAACCCCACTCACCCCACACCCACTCCCTCAGCCCCACTGCCCCACCCCATCCCACTCACCCCATCCCACTCCCTTCACCCCTCGACCTTGGCCTGGTTGGGGAAATTAGTTAACTGTGTTGCTGCCTGGCCCACACACCTGCGAGGAGCCACACCTGCGCTCACTTGCTGCTTAATACCAGCACCTGTGGCTACCGACGGGCGCTCCTGGGGTGCCTGTTAGCTGGTCAGTAATGAAGGCTCTCTACCAACCTGTTGACCGATCACCTGCAGGGGCTCTACATTATAGCCGTAGTATGCATTGATTTTAGAAGTCTTCACTGGCGTGCAGGAAGTGTTCTAGAGCACGTTGGTCCATAATCACGGCCCGTTGAAAACAAGTGATTGCGTGTGTTCAAACAAATGTGTGCTCTGTGATTAGGAAATTACGAACATTCAGAAACGAGTGTCGTCGAGCGTTCACAAACATATCGTGTTCAGCGAGTGTTTCCGGTCGTAATCAGTGTTCATGAGATTCAGAAACGAGTGCATCGTCTTCAACAAGTGCGTATTTACAGGCCATGTTCAGTGAGATTCAGGAATCTGTAGACCGTAATTAACAATAAGACTAGAGATTAACTAACACTAAAATGATAAAGGCGGTGATGAGTATGGGGGGATTAATTGGCGAATTTTACTTGGTCAAGTTTCACGCAAGTCCTGCCTCTGTAACCAGTTACACACAGTAATTTATTCACACTTTTTGTAAAACAGACAAACTTTTAGAAAATACGAAAGTAAAGAAACTTGACATAAAGACCAATTTGATAAGCGAAATCGCTACGCTACTGTGTTTCAGACACAAATCAACCATTCCTAATAAGGCCTAACCTACAATAGCTTATCCAGTGTTACTTTGACTAGGTGAGGTTTATTAGCTTATGTTCGTTTACAGTAATATAAATTGGTTTTCAATATTGTAAAAAATTATTTTCAGAAGCTTCATTAATTTCACGATATATCTGTGTCCCATGAAATCTTAACATCTGGATAGACAAGCTGGATAGACATTGTTGGTTGACTTCTTGAGAGGATACAATAGTGAGCAGATTACTAATGTTGACATACAGTCACTCATTAACTTTTCAACACTCATTACCATATCAAAGGCCGGGGTCACCAGACGGGTAAGTCCCCTCTCCTGCTCAACGGTGCTGTGACAGGTGTAAGAGGGCCAGGAGTGTTGGGTGTGCAGGGAGCGAGAAGAGGGAGAGTGTGGGTGGGAGAGTGGTGAGAAGAAAGGTAAAATGAGTGATATAGGAGGGGTAGAAGATGCGTAGTGGTGGCTTGTAGGAAGGAGTGGGTAGGTGTAAGAGAGAGGGCGAAAATGAGGCTATGAGTATGAGGGAGGGTGAGAAGGAGGCTATGAGTGTGAGGGAGGGTGAGAAGGAGGCTATGAGTGTGAGGGGGGTGAGAAGGAGGCTGTGAGTGTGAGGGAGGGTGAGAAGGAGGCTATAAGTGAGGGAGGGTGAGAAGGAGGCTATACTTATGAGGGTGGGTGAGCAGAAGGCTATGGGTATGAGGAAGGGTGATAAGGAGGCTTTTGGATATGAGGGAGGGTGACACGGAGACTATGAGTATGAAGGAGGGGGGCAGGGAGGGTATGAGTATGAGGGAGTGTGACAGGGTGCCTTTGAGTATGAGGGAGGGAGACAGGGTGCCTATAAGTTCAAGGGAGAGAGAGTGTACATGGGCGAAGAAGCGAGATGAACTTGTGAAGATAACATTCAGTACCTCAGTTTGTTGTGGTTCACCAAGTTTCACCACTCGCAGACACCTGTAGGAGGCGCTCACCATGACGGAGCAATGTGTGGGCGGCGCGGGCGTGGAGGAAGGCGTGGACTTCGGCGAGGATACGGACTCTTGGGAGGCGCGGGCGGTGGAACTTTTCACATTGTGTGACAGAGAGTGTAAAGGTTTCGTTACCAAGAGGGACCTTCAGGTTAGTAAGCTGTGTGTGTGTGTGTGTGTGTGTTCTAGTATATGAGTAAGTATACTAATACATGCACATGTGTGTAATATATGTGGGTGTATATTTAGACAGGTTGTGCCTTGAATACCAACACTTGTGAAATGATTTGTACTGCACATGAAACTTATATAGAAGGAAATGAATGCATGCAGGAAGTAAAGAAACGCATGTGTCCATGGAGTATTAACACTGCTGAAACATTGTGGAGTGGATGAGAAGGCAGATCATGCAGGAATAAGATATAGTAATAAGTTATAATAAAGAGACAAAACTTGACGACAGCGGAAATGGTACTCGAAGTTCAAGTGCATTAGAATTAAGTGTGTGTATCTATGTAGGAAAATATACGCATCCTTGGGAACAAAATGTGTGAGCACAGGTATTAAAACGTTAAAGTAAATTGCCTGGTGGGGCGAGTAATTTAATGTGAACACCTGTGCCAATACTATCACTACTGACGCTGCCTCCTGATGACCGACCACGCGTACCACCTCCACCATGCTAATTATCCCCACACCTTACCTGTGACAGTAACTAATCATTGTCTGATTACTTGTAAGAAACTAAATGCTTAGCCTCTGCATGTGTACTACTAGAAGGGACTTTGAAAGAGACGCAATTTCTAAAGGGGGAACTCTCGAAATTTGAAACCTTTTGGAAGGGAAATTTCTTGGACGAAGAGTTAATGCAACCAAACCCAAAAATAATGTGCCCACTACCAAGACTTCAGGGACTCTGCCACAGAACATGCTACTCTAGTTGATATACATCACCATCAACTTCAGAGTAATACCGTGTCCTCGTGTTCTTGTCACTCACTGATAAAATTGTAACGGAGTTGAGGAGCCATTTCGGTGAAAATAACAGCACCATGAACGGGATCAACAGCTTGAATACCAGAAATAATACTTTCCTCAACATCTGAAGTCATTTGTTGAGCATTACAAGTTAGTCGGGTCGATGGACTATGGAGTTTTTTAATGAAGGAATATATAATTTATTGGTTTATCTTGACTCCTTATGTTGTCTGGTGTTGTAAGCCATTTGATGTTACCCTTGAGCAATCTTTTCTAGGAGGTTTAATTCAAGATGGCCGCCAAATCATCATTTGGGACTGATCTAAGCTTATATACATCAATACACCAGGAGAGCTGATCTTGGACTGTATTCCTATGTTTTCTGTGTCTACTGACTATATAAGATTTCATTTTATACAAATGTATAAGTGAAGCAGTCATCTTAGGCTTTAAGACGGTCGCCGTTTAGAGTGACACGACTTGTATTTGTCCGTATCTCTGGCCTCGATTGGCATACAGTAGAAGGTTCATCTTGGGATCTATTCCAATGTTTTCCGAGTCTATTGATCCGATGGCACGACATACAAAGGTGAAGGAACATGAGCCACGTTTGGTGAATACTGTACTGTACTACTGTATTTACTCTGAAAGAAACTGTAGAGGCTTGAACTCGGGAAGCACTATTATATGATTGGGTTATATTGTCAAAACCTAGAAATTGTTCATATACAGTACAGGTTAGGTAATTGTCAGTAATGGAAATGGAAGTCTCACATGAAGCACAAATAAAGCTTTAATGCATGGGCATGGACGACATTTATTATGTCAAGCTGTGTCGGTATGAATGGTAATAAAAATATTTATTTACCGACTTAATTTCAATAATTAAATAAAAAATAGATTAGACTCCTTCATCTAGAATGTACAAAAGTAAATAAAGTCATCATAATATATCATCATATTCTCTAAATTCAGCTGCCATCATCTCCATCTTGTTATTTGATCTGAATCTTAAACAAATTTGAAACAATATAATAATTATTGGAGTGAAAAACCAAGTTAGTGTTTTTGTTCAGTTTAAAAGCTTGTATCATTGTGTTAAACATTGGTCTAGGATATTCATTTGAAGAAAAAACTATTTGTAGATGTTAATTTTGAGATTGAGTACAGTACAGAAAATAAAAGTACACTTTCAAATATCTCTTTATTCGTTAATCATATCCCATACGTTTCCTTCTGTTTCCAAAATCAAACTTTGCCTTCCCAAGTCTATCTCTTTGCTCCCTCTTCCTCTCAAGCCTCTCCCCCCTCTCCCTCTGCCGCCTCCCAAGCCTATCTCTCTGCCACCCCTCCACCTTCCCCTCTCAGAATTCTTGAGTTGCCACTGAGTCTCCGTCTAGTATTAAGGAAACTGCCTCAATCTAGTACTAGATATAAGAGGAGGGAAGTGACTGTGACGTTTCTTTAGAAATATTCATTCTTTGTCATTTTTGTCATCGATCTTTTCAACAGAGACTGTGGGGTGAGCTGCCACTGGACCCAGACGAGTTTGAGCGTGTGTTTGACTCTCTGGATCAAGATCACAATGGCTTCCTCTCTCTCGAGGAATTTACTGATGGTTTCGGTACTGTGTGTGAACCTTGGTGTTGTGTTTTATAAATACTACCTTATAATAGGGTTCATGTCTGCCTTCGCCTTGCATACTGATAAAAATTCTGTAGTATATCTATTTTACTTAAATGAAGGCTTTCTGAAATACAAGTACAAGTATCGGTGTTTAGCTGATACACTCTTCTGGGAACGATATCATTAACATTTTAGGCAACAATCTATGTGTGGGAGTGGGAGTAACAGAGGTGTGCCGTCAGGTTCACACCTGGGTCTGGTGGTGGAGTTCCGGGCGGAGTCGTCGTCCAGCAGCGGATGTGAGGGTGAGGCTGAGGCTCAGAGGCAGCAGGAGCAAGAGGTTAAAGAGGGGATCATCAGTACCCAGCAGCTTGACACCATCCTGAACAGCCTGGCCGGCCAAGACCTCGACTCAAAGTTAGTCACCTGACGAGGCTGTAAACTGGAGTGTAACGTAGTAATGACATGAGGCTTAAGTTTAACCTGGATATGGGAACAACTGTTTATGACGTAAGGTTGAGCATCTGGTGTGAACTTCATTACACTTGCAGTTCGGCAGTGGTGGAGGCAGTGTGGCGGGAGGTGTGTGGTAGTGGGGATGGCACCCAAGAAGACGCCAGGCTGGAGAGACTTGTGGCAGCACTGCTTCAGGAGTTGTCCCGGGTTAGAGCTGACCACGCACACCTTGAAGCTGCCCTTGCCACCAAGACCGACCAGTACAACCAGCAGGTCAGTATCTTACACCTTCACAAAATGTACTATCTTGACCTCCTCTTACATCATATAACTTCTTACAGTCTTAGCACCTCTCCCAGTGTCACTGCCTCTTACAGCTTGTCACCACTTACTCACAGTACCTCTCTCAAAGTCAGTACCTACCGGTGTGTAACTTCTTGTCACACACTGGGTGCTCATGTTTGCTTTAAAATTAACATTGTGTAGGAGTTAAGCGTATTTATTGTGGAATAGTCAGAGCAGGTTATTACCTACCTGTGATTGAAATTAACGGTGACCCCATTCCTACAATAAGGTGTTAATTTGAAGTCGAGTCTCTTGAGACGACAACGCAGATGTCACTGTATATTGCCTCCTCGGAGTTAATAGGATTATCTTCACTTCCACTGTCAGTTCACTGTTGTATTAAAGACCTTAAGAGTAACACGTTAGTGGTGGCAACAGTAACTGTTAGCACACCTCATACCTCTGTAACACTAAACAATCGAGGCAGAAGATATCGGCGAAGAAATTTTAGAGCTGTAACAGATATCTCAACCGTCACGCCATACAACATATTTATGCAGAAATAATTTAAATTATTTCTTTACACAAGGAAAGCAAATGGATTTTAAAGATTTAAAATTTTCTTCGATGTGATATTATAATACAAATTAGTATAAGATTAAGTTTTAAGGTGGAGAGAATTTGTGTCTTGGTGCAGGTGTCGCAGCTGTATGAGGAGTTGGAGACACAGATCAGCGGGGAGGAGACCCAAGCTACCAAGGAGCAAAACCAGAGGAGCGCCCGAGCCCTTGCCCTGCTTGAGGAGGAGGTGAGGAGGGTGGCAAGAAGGGAGTGTGTGTGTGTGTGTGTGTGTGTGTGTGTGTGTGTGCGGGCATGTTAGCTGAAAAAATTACATGATATACTGAAGCAGGTACAGTAATTCATCCAAAAGAAAGCAGCTCAGAGAACCTGGCATAACAAGGTTGAAGAGCATCTAGAAGCATTTATCAACAGGGATGAACTAGGGGCTATGTATATACCTATGATTAAGCTCTCCATAACAATGCTTGTGATAATAAAAAGTCAATTGGTTAGGGGTAGTTATTAAAGAGAGAGAGTCACATATGATACTGCATGCGTGACTTGATATTATAGTGCAAACTAAAAAATAGTCACTAGAAAAATAATTATACAAGAGAATGTGACCTACTACAGCCCCAGGTGGCGTGGAGGTACAGTACTGTAACATCATCTATGTTTGCAGGTAGCAGAGCGTGAGAGAGCACTGCAGGCCCTGGAGGAGGAGCAGCAAGTGTTACGGCAGCAGTTGGAGCAGATGGCAGCGACAGAGGCGGTGGCCAGGCAAGACAACTCTTACCTCTCGCAACACGTGGTTAGTTCTCCCTCTCTCACATATTATCCTGTTGTCGAATATTTAATTGTCTAAAAATATGCCGAGTTCTGATAGTTTGGTTGCACTTCCAGGTTGTGTGATTGTAGTATGACGATACAGTATTGATAAAGGGAAATTAGCATGTGATATATATTGTGTGGTCATAATGCTTCCTTATTGTGTGTGAGTGTGTCTTAGAATATTTTAAAGTGTGTCACTATTATACAACAAGGACCGACTGGAGGAGGAGCTAGCTACTAAGGATGCGGTGGTGCAGGAGTTGACTGTTGCTCTGGAGGCACTCAAGAAGAACACCAAGAATGAGAAAATACGACGGGTGCAACAGGCCTTCAAGGTGAGACTTCTAGTTTTGGGGTGTGCTCAGTCAAAGAGTGCAAGAGAGCCGAACTGAGGAACATGGACTTTGTATATCGTGAGCATGCGGGTGGGGGGGGGGGGGGGGGGGGGCTGGCAACTTCCTCCCCCAGTCCTTTAAAGGGCAAGTGGGAATAAAACCATCCCTAGTTAGCTGGGCGCTGGCCTCAGTAGTTCTTATACAAACCAGGCTGTTCTTTATGTTTAGTTCCCGTAGTGTCCCAGAGGGCACTGAGCACTGTGTTATCACATGACTTTCATGTATTAATCTTCAATCAAAAATAACTCTTTAGCCCATGAACTGTCAAATTCCTGTATTCCCAAACTACAGTGCTATAAAGTGTTTCATCCAGTGATCAGAAGCATCATAATGAATAAAATAAAGTCCAAACAAACCACCAAAATTCTATCTTACATCTATGACTATAATGCAATCATGTTCAGTTATATTAATTAACTAATATAGTTCTTTCAACTGCTAGAACTATTGAGGATGTTCTTTCCCAATTACAATAACAAAACAAAACAAAGAAACAGCCTCGAGAATTTTGTGATTTTTCCATTTTGAATTTAGATTTTACTCAGAATATTACCAGAGGTACTTCTGAACAAACTTATTCAAGTTTTATATTTAAAAAGTTATAATTATTTTAATTTTAATTTGAATTCCATAAGCACCGGGTTACTTAATCAATTTCAAGACATTTAAAGTTACAACGCTCCAGGTTAAGTTTACGTCTACAATGTTTTGAAGATAATACATTGGGCCAAGTTGACTCCACCATCTGATATCTAGTACATTTCTTCCAACATAACTCTTTACCAGCTAGATGCCAGTGATCAGTATGGCACAAATTCTGGTGGATATCAAAGGGTGGAAGAAATGTGGTTCACTGATTGCTCACTAGTTTATCGAAACAAAAGAGTTCTTGCTAATTGATGCCCTTTCAAGTGTTGAAAGTTCCAAGTGTTTTTTGTTTTGTTTTTTTAACACTCGTATATTTAAAGGTAAGTGAGGGGATTGCAATGGAGAGAGAGAGTCTGGTGACCCAGCTTGACATTTTGCGGACCATTAACACTCAGCTGAGGGATGAACAAGACCAGGCCAGCCAGCCCCCCAGCAGGTTAGTCTCCTTGTTTACCTTTCCACCATCATATCCTTGAGGTAGACCAGTGTAGCTTCTCTAGGAATCATGTGATATTGTAATTTTTGTCATGTAATAATATTTTAAGTTATTAGCGAGATGCAGTCTTGTGGGGTTGTGGATCAATGTTCATAACTCGCCTTTGATGTGATTCTAAACTTTTGCAAAGGGTCTATCACACTTGGCAAGATTTTACATTCCTCGGGAGAATGTGGCAATACTGCTGTTCTTGATCAAATGTTCTGCCTGAAAACTGGTATCTGAGGAAAACGTAATGTAAGGGAGTTTTCGGGCAAGGTTTGACTACATATCAGGTCCAATTGAGGTTTTATAATATTTGTAATTAACAAGCATTGATTTTATTAAAACAAACTAAGAATATTTTTAGACATTCAAATGAAAATTACAGATAACATTTCATATGACTTTTGTTTATATCTACTGAGCGTGGCCAGTGTGGATTCTCAAACCTCACGAATTACTTGGTCAAGGGACTCTGAAACTTCTTTCTTTGTTGATAAGTGAAGGAAGACAGTGTGTTGCGGGATTTAAGACATCCATTGTATCCCAAGAAAAGAGACGGTGATACGCAAACGGTGCTACAACTGAGCGTGTGATTGGAAAAGTCGGTTTTATGACCGAGAACGGAGTAATGAGAACCGAGAACTGTGGATTTTTGCCCAGTGATACCACCTTAAGAAAGCTACTCATGTTTAGTCCACTACACTAGGAAACAACAGTGGAAAAAATGACTTCAGGTGTCTTGTCCCTTCTCTACTCTCAAACAGTTAAGGGGACTTATAGCTTGACTTGGGCCCAACCCTCGTCAACGCACTTGGGAAGATCAGTGTCATTATTTGTTTTTTTTAAATACATGTGTATTATGTATGAAGTATGAATTTTCTTGTTGAGCCAGATGTAAGGAGAGTGAAGGTGGAGGAGCACCAGTGCCAGTCAGCCCAGCCACCAGCCCACACTCAAGAAGTGACTCTGACTCGCTAGTTGCCACCACGCCCACCACGGCCCCTTTGATGGACCACACTCACACCACCACCGTTACACTACCACCACGCCCACCATACATCCTCCCAGTGCAGGACACTTACACATCACTTAATGCATCTCATTGCCTCATCCACAATATCCGGTAAGAAGTTGATATTAATTTTCTTTGTAAGAGCCATAAAACGGTTTTCCAGTTTAGTGTATAACAGGGTGATCAGTGCACATTATTTTCTAAACACTCTTGTTCTCTTACTCGGCAAAATATCAAAATGGTGTTTTGAAAGGGTGTCTTAGTATAGTTTAATTGTATTTTTTTTTAACTTTTACAATATTGACAGATTGTATGAATTTCTGTACCTTGACGTTATAATGTTATTACTGCGCTTCAACAACTACCAAGGTCTTTAAGCGCGTAACAAAGTTAGTAATTACAATAGTTCATTAAATATTGAAAACTAAGAGATAGAACATCTGTTCCTGTAAATCAGATAGTAGGCAGCTATCAAACAGGGAGGTACTACCGCCTGGGAAGATATTGAAAGCATAATGTGTTGTCTAATGGTAGACCCTGCTGCCATATGGCATCATAAAAATTGTGACCAAGTCCCAGGTTGCTGATCTGACTTTCTGCCTCATTTACACACAATTACAGAGTCTCAATTGTTTCTCTTACTTTAACACAACATCCATATACCGTTTCCCACTCTTGATCTTTTTTAATTTATTTATTTATTATTATTATTATTATTATTATTATTATTATTATTATTATTATTATTATTATTATTAATTATATTTTCGCCCCCCTGACCCCGATGTGGGTCCGTAAAAAAAGACCCAGCGAACAACAGAGCATCCTTCCCCCCACCCTTTCCATTGTATACACAAACGTTTTTTTTCCTGTCTCCTTCTTTCCTCTATTTGCCTTCTCGCTACACAGTTGTTTCTATTATAATTCTTAATTTTTGGTGAACTTGTGTAATAAGTTATAACGTCAACGCCAGCTCTCATTTCTTTGTGTCCTTACCTGCCTTAAGTCGTCCCTGGTATGCTGATTCTCTCACAAGTCAGCAGTACCCTTAGCTTCAAAGATAATACATGAACAATAGATAAATGATGGTAACCATATCACACAGGTAATTTATATGCCATTAAGACTTTTACATTAAAGATTGAATGGACAGTTGTCTTTCTTGTTTAGACTGTAATAACTGGTATTTTTTCTATTATATTTGTAAAATCTTGTCCAGCATACAGTCGACTCTTATGATAACATTATTTTGGCAGGCGGACCACAGGTAGTGTTCGAGCCGCGGACTGTGAACATGATGAGGAATACTTTGTGGTTAGTACAGTGCCTGTGTGTCAGTGCCTGTGTGTCAGTGCCTGTGTGTCAGTGCCTGTGTGTCAGTGCCTGTGTGTCAGTGCCTGTGTGTCAGTGCCTGTGTGTGTTAGTACCTTTGTGTTAATATTTCCGACTCCGTCATACAATGATATAATAACTGGTGAAGTGGAGGAAAGGATGAATTATCATTATAATTATTATTATTATTAGCATAAAGTGTAAGCAGATCCAACTGAGAATAAACTGTTAATATTCTCTTTCTTTTTATCACATCTTTCTCTATATTATCAAAGGCAGGATTCCTGTGGTGATAAGGCAGATGGGAAATACTGTAAAGAAGATTAGTATTAGTTAGGTGGTGAAGGTAAGTAATGGTAGGGCCTGAGAAGGAAAGAGTGAATTTGTATGGTGGTGAGAAAGACAAGGAAGTGTTATGGATTGATATATGTAAGAGGGGCCATTCTTCTAGTTGGTCAGTTATGACATATTGAATTAAAAGATACTTTATTAATGTACTGCATATTTATTTGATGTGATTAGACTGTGGATGACGAGGTCAGCCAGGAACCAGTGTTACCTCCGCTAATTGCCCCCATGGAAACAAGTCTCCTGCAGGAACTTCTGCAACACCCACCCCTCTGTGTTTCCTGTGGGGGAACACTTCCTGATAACATGGGGGATACTTCAGGTATACCACCCGTGTATATAAACTGTACCATACACACTAACAAGCAGTGTTACTATACATACACACTTGTGAGAAGCACGCTTCTTTTTTCTGGTCTGATATAGACATTAGAAAAAAAATAAGCAGTTTTGCATGCTGATAAAAAGACAGCCATGACTCTTGCTGTGATACATACGAAATGAATAAATCCCTTGGAGTGAGGGTGTTATGAGTCTAGTAAATAGATCTCATGGAGTGTACAGTACCGACAAAAGTCCATTTTATGTAAATTTTATCTAGCAAGAGTCATGTCCGACCGATCATTTTCCCCAATTGGTCCTGTAAGTTAAATCAAATGATCCATCATCCCGATCCTCGCTTCACCTCATATCTTAAAGCTTAACTGTTAACCATTTTAGAGCAAGAGAATAAAGTTTGTGTTAATTTTTTTCTTTTTAGATTTAGATTTTTTTAATAAAGATGAACAAGAGATTCTCTAAATTGCCTTCAGTCATCCCATTCTCTCTATAATATTCCCTCTAATATATGGCGTAAAGAATGAGTCCTCACCATAATTTTTATTGATATCTATTATGAGTATCAGAACTATATTAAATTACAATTTCTGTCTTGAACAACTATCTTTGATTTCAGATATGGCAAAGGCTTCATCACCAAGGCTAAGGCAAGAGTCCATGACGCAGACATCACCCATTGAGTCACTTGAAGACTTACCTGCTAAAGTATTAATGTCTGCTGAGGCATCGCCTACAAAGGAACAGTCTACACCACCTGAGGAAGATGTTGAAAGCTCGATAGTAGGATCCACTAACAGTGTTCTCACTAGATACTGTCAGTGCAGCAGGTAATTCTGTACTTTGCTATTTCCTGATGCCCTCCGTCAGACTGCTTCAGATATATACCCACTAATCGTTGTCTTAAAGTTCGAATATCACCCTTTAGTGGGTCTTTTAACCATCTTGGATTGATTAGGTTGGTCAAAGAACATAATGTGGTTGATACAGGCATCGTCCCTGTTCCATATAGTGTTAACCAATATAGAAAGGAAATATTTGAGGCTGTCTCACATTTTAATCCTTGGAAAGCACCCTAGAGGGTATAGGGTAATAAGTCCCGTATAGTTAATATTACCTTTAATGATGCTATGGTAATGTTTGTTTGTTTCTCTTTTGAGTCGTCGTCCACTTAGAGAGGGAAATTTGTCAGTGTGAGACAAGCAAGGAAAATAGTTTTTGTCACTCCTGTAAAGGGTTGCCGCCTCAGAGTTTTAAAATCCGGAAATTTTATCTTCGAAGCTAATTATTTTTTCCTATACTTGAGTTACTATCGGTGTTACTTAATAAAAGAAAAAAGCTAGGTAATAATGAATAAGTATAGTTATTTACCAGAAAATAACAAATAGATACATGCGTAAAAAAATAGCAATTATTTTATACTAAAAGAAATTTGTCAGGGAAGTGAGGATTGAACCTAGGCCTAAGTTAGTTTACCAGTTTTTTTTTTCTTTAACACCTTATAGGAAAAATCGGTTTAGGAATTCTCTAAAATAGTCAGGATTGAAGACCAATGGTACCCAGAGTATGCATAGAAAAAGATCAGGGACTTGCTATCACTCTCACTAGATGGGTCTCAAAGAAGGATAGAGCTAATGGCTACTTGTGCCGGGTGTCTGACATACTTTTTTTATAAGTAGGATTCATGATCTTTGAAAGCATATGAATGAAATTTGTGAAAATTAAGAACACACCAAGAAAAAGTGCATGGGAGAGTCATGTTTTTAAAATTGAAGATAACAACAGATTTCAAGGTAAATGAAAGTTTTCCTTCAAAACTCCTTGTTTCCTGAACACGGTTTGAATTCACTGATATTAATGTGCTTTAAATCGGTGGTTCCCAAACTTTTCCGCTTCACGGGCTAGCTGAGTAAAAAAAATGTGTACCGATAATATTGTAAATATAAGCGACAGTAAAACAAAAATCCGACAGATCGGACCACAGTTCCGGAACCACCGCTTTAGAAAACTTAATGAGTACCTGCATGTTACAGGGTTGGCAGCCAGCCCCCTTCTGCGCCTCGGCACTCATCCACCGTCATCATCTACCATCCTGGTCACTACACCGCCACACAGATCAGTCCTCTACACCACACGCACCACACCTATCACACTCGCCACTCCTATCACACTTATTACACCTTCAAACCCAAAATTGAGGACATCCAAACCAAAGTTACAAGAAATGCATCAACACAAAGTACAGCTATTCTATCTATAGAAATTGAAGGCCAACTTGACACTCCCCAGGCCTCTCATTCTAATAATGGACGAGATGTTGAATTTGTTACCAATTGTTGTACCTCTGAGAACTCAATTCTCGAGGCCGACCAACAAGATGAAGTGAGTCAGAGTACACAGGATGATCTACATAGTGATACAGTCATGGGTCAGTGTGAAGACCTGAAGGAGGAGACTACGCAGGACAATGTAATGGGTAAACTTGTGAACCAGGTTGCAGATGATGGACTCAACGTTGGCCAGAGTGTGTTGCCCTCATCTAACATTACACTAGAGGTAGGAAGTTAATTGAGTTTAAGTTTCATTTTCTGAATGTCTTAAATTTTGTGATTCCCAGTTATATACTGGAATACTTTATTTTATCCTCTTCGCCACTAATGGTCTGTCACGTCTGTTACACACAGTTGGCAAGTAGTGTACTGAACATGTACTGACTCTCTCTTGCTGATCTGACTTTCTGTCTCATTTACGCACAATTGCAGGGTCTCAATTGTTTCTCTTACTATTGACAACACAACATACATGCTGCATATCGTTTTTCACTTGATTTATTTTTCTCGTTTTTGTATTTATTTATGATTATTATAATATATATATATATATATATATATATATATATATATATATATATATATATATATATATATATATATATATATATATATATATATATATATATATATTAATTATTATTTATTATTAATTTATTATTATTATTATTATTATTATTATTATTATTATTATTATTATTATTATTATTATTATATCTTCGCCCCCCCAGGCCCTGATGTGGGTCATTTGACCTGTGCTCGGATGGGCTAATTAATCCCCGTAAAAAAAATACGAATAATGAAATGACACAAATACCTTTAATTTTAAGTACTTTTTATAATCCTTAGCCACAAGAATGATTGTAAAGTTATTTGCATTGTGTTTTGAAAATCAGAGTGGTCTCGTGGCTGATGAGGTCACCAAGGAACAACTAGAGGATAAATTCTCAGACAACCAGGAGACACGACAAATAATTCAACGACGCTACTCCAAGAATACTCCAACAATACTAGTAGCTCCATTATGTCGCCGCTACCCTTATGGAGAAGACAATGATAACAAGACCAGCGAGTTAAGAAACAAAGGAGAGAGGCAAGATGAACAACCATCTGTTAGCGCCATTGAGAGAGATGCCATCTTGTACTGCCCCTCCAGGATGTTCAAGGTGGTCTTCATTGGAGACAGTGGAGTAGGGAAGACCTCCTTCATCCACAGGTAATGTAAGGTGCTCTTGGACATTGCTGGTCAGGATGTGAGTGAAATAATTAAGTATAATTTATCCTATTGCCGTAATTTAACTAATTCCTGATGTTACATATACTAATTCATTAATAATTACAGCATTTACCTCATAATTTATGCATTACTATAAGCATTCCGTAAATTGGCATAAGTGACCCGGTGTGCGTTTTGAAGTGAAAACTGTGTTTTCTAATAGTTAAGACAATTCTAAGACTTTTCTTAAATGAGGTTGCACTCACAGATTACCTAAAAATTATCTGGCCTAACCTCCCAACCGGGGGGCTTCGCTCCCCTGGACCCCCCGGCATACTTGTACACTGTATAACTGTATAAGTCATTTGCGAGGGAAACGTCATAGAAGAAAGTGTCTTAGAATTGTTTGAACTATTGATTGTACATACCACATTCCCGTTACTCCGTACCGGGTGACTTATGCAATAATACCAAACATTCCATACTATAATTGTCATCAAAATAAAAACTTTCTTCACTCTCTGTACTGTATAACCTTATATCTGAGAACTTTCTCTTCTACATGAGAAGTGTTTTTGCTCTGTCACAACTTGTCTCTCTCGCTTCCTCACTTTAGACCTTGATGTGTTGTTTGCTCCTTCTTGTAAAGTAACTTCATCTTTCACCCTGTCAACTCTTAATACTGCCTTTACACTTCAAAGGTTAATTGCACTTGCTCACCATTACCATCTTTACCCAAAAATTGTCCACCACACCATACCTTTATTACCACAATACTCTAATGCATATAGTACTTCCGGCTGTGTTCACATGTCTTCACATCCTACAACACTCAGAAATCACATCATTCTCTTCATTCACAGCTTTGTATAACAAGTGCTAGACTATGTACAGTTTGGAAGTATGTACTGCATAATAAAGAGTTGTTAGGCAGTTAACAGGCCGATCAGTGGCGAAGAGGATAAAGTAGTGACGAGATAGCAATTTCTTCAGAATACCTGTCACTTTAATTCTCTGTATACTGTATAGTATCACAACTCATTAATAATGCTTGGGATGTATGGTAAAAACAGTGGCTCTTAGATTTTTTTATAAATGATTTTAACTGTAATAATACAAATGTGTCGGGAATGTATCATTATGTATCTAATTCTTATATAAAATCGCTGTTGACTGCATGTAAACGTGAATAGAATTTAAGTTGTAGATGAAACATATTGGTTAAGGAGCCTTAAGTCAGGTATTGTATCTTGTAACAATACCTCATATTTTTGTTAAATTTACTCATTTTCTTCACTTGATGATCTGCCACATTATATCACTATTTATTGTCCTGTCTCTGGATTTCGTTTTCTTGTTTATGTCTTTTGTTTCTTCCCTGATGTGCCTTTGTGTTATTTACCTCTTCCTACCTTCCCACTTGTTGGTAAGCAAACTCTCCTTTTCTTTATGTTAATGGTTTTTGGGTGCAAGTAATTTTTTTACAACTAAAGAGGGTTTGCATCATAAATGTATGTAGACACTGTAATAAATATCTTACTATGTAATCAGGTTAATGAAAAACTTTAAAGTCAACCCAAGAAAATAAGATGGAAGTGGAAATTTTTGTCAGTGGTACATAACTTGGAGTATTGCAACTATAGATTTTTTGTTTTAAATATAGTTTTTTCTCCATTCCTTACACTCTCGTAGGGCCACTGCTAAGGAGTTTCGGGAGGACTTTGGCTCTACAGTGGGCGTGGATTACCGGACACTGGAGGTGCAAGTGGGCAGTGTGTTAGCAGTGCTTCAACTCTGGGACACGGCTGGCCAAGAGCGCTTTCGCTCCATCACCAGGCAATATTATAGGTAAATTGTAAGCCAATATATGTCGGGCCTTTATTTTGATGACTTAATAGTTATATATTTGACCGTAGCGAGGCAAGTGCAATGAAAAAAAATTTCGCTATTTATGTGCCAAAAAATCTATATAAAGGCCAACATGTGAAGGAATTGAATGTGCAATATACGTATAACTTGTCTGGTACTCAGAACTGAACCTAGGCCTTCCAATTGTAACGGTAGTCGATTACCATATTTCTATTACCCTTAGATATCAGTTTACATTTTAAATCTAGTTCATGATGGCAGAGACTGTTGTGAGGCGTCAATGAGTGTCTACATCCACAGGAAGGCTGATGGTGTGGTGGTGGTGTATGACCTCACCTGTGAGCAGTCCTTTCTCAATGTGGTGGATTGGATAACTTCAGTCAGGGTAAATAGGACAACAAATTGTACTGTTAGATATGGTTCTGCTGTGTTGTTTCTCATTACAAAAGTGTGAATTAAAGTAAGTTGGTGGTAAAGCGGTAGATAACTTTAGTATAGAGTAAAATAATTTTTAAATTATGTTTTTATTAGAATATAATGATATATTTACCTGGTCATGCCAATAAATTTAAGTCAGTAAATGCACAAGCTTAATGCACGTTTTATACACAGTAGTAAATTACTCTACCTTATGGTACAGTACTGTATAATATATGAGGTGAGACCAGTGATATGTGGCACATCACAGGACACGGCTGGGGAGGAGGTGCTGATAGCCTTGCTGGGGAATAAAGAAGACTTGCAGGATGGTCGCTGCATTGATCAAGATACAGCAGATAAGCTGGCCAAGGTTTGTCAGTGTCACCTTAATGTACATTCCATAGGACAATCTGTTGCATGTTGCCTGTACAGAGGGTAGCGGCCCTAAAGGTGAGCATTTCAGAGGCTGGCACTTCCGCTTGACAGCACAGGAGCTCGAACTAAGGGGTAACACATAATACCACAGCCAACTTAAGTGCCATACCGCATTATGAAGGGTGTTCCTGAAGCTGGTTGTGATAGTTCATCCCGAGGCTATGGCATCTGGTTTGCTAGCGTGCCAGTACCTCAGTTTGTGGCGGTGTGCAGCTGGGAGGGAGAGGGGGACTTTTTTTGTTTTTTTGGTCGTTACTCAACTAACAATTAATTATGATAATACAATCAAAGAACAGAAGTATACTTTTCATACAAATATTACATATACACTGTAGGAATGATTGTCAATGAAAACTGCGTAAGATCAAAGTGAAGGAACCCATGCAGTTGGATTTAGAGTTGGAAGTCTGCATGTTGTTAAGGTGCAGAGATGAGTGGATGAGATTGTAAAGACACTGATCTGTAGAGACTTCGATGTCTGCTGTGTACAAGAAGCCATGGCTGATTACTGGGAGGAATGGTAGGTACAAAATCTACTGGAAAGGTAATGAATCTGGGGCAGGTGGTGGTGGGATGTTGGTTGCTGAAAAGTGGGTGGAGAAAGTGCTCGAGGTGAAAAGTGTAAATACAAGAAATATGGTTTTGAAGCTACCGGAAGGGAAGAATCTGGTGACTTGTATCTGTATACGCCCCACAAGATGGGCTAAGTGAGGAAGAGAAGGACAGGTTCTGGGATAAGCTAATGTATGCAGTATCAGAGTTAGGTGAAAGTGAAATTGTACTACCGGGTGGTGACTTAAGCACGTGAACTATAGGGGGCCTGACACAGTTAAATCGTGTTATGAAAGCTTTAGAAAGGCTGATCGGAAAATTTAAATGTAAGTAGTTTGTTTTATGCCAGGTAGGGGGACTACAGAGGCAGTATTTATGGCCAGGCAACTACAAGAGAAATATATAGGGAAGGAGAGAAAGCTGTACTCTATATCTGAACAATCGGGCAACCGCCTCAATGACGTGTGTCACTTGTCTTCGCATGAGTTTAGGAGTTAAATTTATGGTGATTATAGGAGAATGGTGATACATTGAAAGCTTATTTGTAAACTCGATAAAACTGCAAGTGTTATAGCAGTGGTCCCCATCCTTTAATTCGCGGGCGCCATGGCGCCCGCGAAACCATATTATGGAGCCCGCAAGGGTTTATCAGAAAATAGTGAATTATTTTGGATTCTTATGTAAGACTGAAATTAATGACAATATGTAATAGCTTGATTCAACTGTCGTGGACAGGACGTGTGTATTTACCCCAGACCGGGCACAGAGAGAGAGCCAGCCTTCCCATTGGGGTAAGTGCACACGTCCTGTCCAAGAGTAAATGTGAATAGTAAGTAACTGGTAAAAGTTAGACGTGTGAAACTATAAATAAATGTACAGTATACATGAGATTTTTGTTTCTTGAATGTAGATCCAAAGTTTTGCCGCCCTCCAGTATACAGGGTATTTACAATGGTAAATGTGGCCCAGAACCTGCAGAAGGTTGGGGACCACTGTGTTGGAGAATAATGAAATAAATTAAGTGAAATATTAAGCACACTGGTAGTAAAACCTTCATTATTCTAGAATATTCTAATTTATTTTTCATAACATCTGGGTGTTTTCTTGTTCATCAGAATGTGGGATTTTTTTTAACTGTGAATTTTAGTAAATAAAACTCTCTTCTGCCCTGAATATGTATTGTTAATACAGTACAGTATTGCTTTCTTCTGTACACTTGAGCAGACTTGATACATTGTCCGATGTGTTTAAAATGCTTGAAGATTAATCAATGGACATTCACATCATCAAAACAAAGAGTGTTCAAGTTTAATATGCTATAGTCATTTACATATTGTATGTACAGTATTCTCTTCTTAGGGTAATACTGGAGTAGATCTATTATAAAAAGTACGTGCATTCCCAAGACCTGTGTTCATTGATGCTAATTCCTGCTAATATATTTCAAACTTAATTTTTTTTTCTCGCCCCCAGGCCAACAACTGTTTTATGTTTGAGTGCAGTGCTGCAACAGGGAGTGGGGTACAGGATGCTATGATGCACATTGCTTCTCTGCTAACCAACCGACAGACGCATGATATAGCACCAACCTCATATGTCACACTTCAAGAACCACTTAAAAAAAATAAATGCTGCAAGTAATTGTCTCATATCATAACTTTGCATTAATATATCCCGAAACCAAATCTGTTCTAAGTTTCATGTATTTGTCGATACGAATTAATTGCAGGATGTCTTCTAAATAATTTGCAAGTTATTAATATTATTCTATGGTAAAAAGCGAAAAATTCAAGTTATCTAGTCAAAAATATTTTATTGTAGCATCCATATAATGGAGTATAAAAATTTGTAATATGAAGCAATTTGTAACACCAAGAATAATTTGCATTAGTAACTCTATATTATTTTGGACAAATTTTAAAAATGCATCTTTACAGGCATTCCATTGTGAGGCTGCTCTAATTCTTTTTACTAGTCTAGTGGCTCCTTATCTCTTCTGATTACACATCACATTCTCTTCTGCCATAAAAAAACACAAATTAAAGAACTTAATATGTAACCCACAGTACACCGTATTGGTAACAATGCACAGTAATGCAATGATGTAATGATTAAAGAGGAAACCCGCTTAATACAGAAGATGCATTCTTATTAATTACCAAAGTCAAGTAGTGTTGGTGGTTGAGTAATTACGAATTTTTTTTGATAGTTTGTGTCCCGTATACAGTATAAGTTGATGATATTTTTCACTTCAACATTTTATACATACAGTGAAACCTCCATATCGAACTTATCCCTGCCGTTACAACACTCTCTGATAGAGGAGATTGTTACATTTTATTTCATTCATCTTATCCCTAGCTTCATGTCTTTCCTTAGGCAGCATCTGTATCTCATGGCAGAGGTAAAACAAGGTCTGCTCACTCAAAGAAAACGGAACCTCTCAGAGCTCGTGACGTCACTTGTACCCACAAATTCAACAACCACAATCATGCCGAGCACTTGCTCAGTTTTGGGATGTTTATCGCAAATTAGAAACAGGGATCATATAACTTCCCATCGCTTACCAAAGGATAAAGAACTGCGAAGATGGATTCACTTGTGTCAGAAGAAAGACTTTATAAGTAGCGAAAATGCTCGAATGTGCAGCTTGCATTTTGAGGCCAGTGCTTTTGAGGAGAACTTGAAATGTAAGCTGCTTGGAGTACTAGTACCAAGGACATATTTTGTAAAGATTAAGAATGGAGCAATACCAACACTACAACTGCCATGTTCAAAAGGTAAGCTTATTATTTCAGGTACAATGTAAAAATCTGAGTTTATGACAAGGTATGTTTTTTTGTTTTGTTTTTATCCTCTTCACCGCTGATCGGCTCTTAGCCGCTTGGGCGATCGGTCACGTCTCTGTTGCGCACTGTTGGCAAGTACTGGGCATGCACCGGCTCCTGAATGTACCCGAACCTGCTCCAGTGTTGGTCAAGTCTGGTCTTGAAAGAGCTCACACTCGGTGCCGTCACAACACTCTCTGGTAGATTGTTCCAAGAGTTCACAACCCTCACTCCGAAAAAGTTTGGCCTCACAGTTTTCTGGGCTTGCGGCTTCTTCAACCTTGAGCTGTGACCCCTTGTGGGGCGAGCGTCCGCCAGCTCCAGGTAAGAGCACTCGACTGAGTAGTGCCCTTTGAAATGCTTATACACCTCAATTAGGTCTCCCCTTGCCCGGCTGTAGTATAAGCTAGACAATTTCAGGCGCTCTAATCTCTCAGGGTAGCTGAGGTGTCGTAGCGCAGGCACCATGTCTGGTGGCCCTCCTTTGGACAGGGTGACAGTACTGCAGTCGGGGAAGCACTTCACTCTTATAAGACCTAATAATTGATTTGCCTATGTACCTTGGTAGAAGGATTCTTGCCTAGTATCTGTCATGGGAGTACTTGTTGCACCTGAATCAACTTTGCTCGTCACATTAGGGGTATCAGGAATTGGTGTTATTCCAGAAACATCCAAGTGGTCAGGGCTGTCTTTTCGCCACCAGGTTCACTGATTTGCTCTGCAGCCAGTCTAGTTTACACACATCAGAGATACTCTCTTCTGACTTGATATTCTGGAGCTCCTCGAATTTTGTTCTCCTTTGTTTGCAGGACGATTCAAACCATTATTTTTCCTTCTACTTTTGCTGTCACTTTCGCTTGAAAACACACATACGGACGGGACAGTCTGGATGCAAATGAACCCTTGATGACAATAGGACACTTTGAAGAAGAACTGCAAATTTAGTCATCACTCCACCAGCTTGTCCAGTAATATAATAAAAGCTGGCAGATCTTGGTCATCCCATATATGGTACGGTTATAATTTCTGTTTGGGCCTCTATAGTCTGAGACTAAAATACACTCAGGATAAACTTAATATGTGGACGATATTGCCAATTCAACAGTTCAAGTCTGAACCAAGAATGAAATAACATACTAGTTATAGCGCTTATTGCATAGGTATATGTGTCTGGATCCCGGGTTCCAAGGAGTGCCGTCTCCGTTCAATCGTTTGCAGGCTGCTCTCCATTTACGTCGACGATCTGGATCCCCGTTTGGAAATCTGAACAATCCACGATTTTCTCGCATCGTGTTGTGGCTTGTACAGTCATATGCAGCAAAGCAATTTGGCCTCTGCCTTAAAAGAAAACTTCGACAATCCTTACTCTAACTAGCGTATGACAGCGGTTTGTTTTCATTGCAGTAACTAAAGTATGTTGCTCTGGAATAGGTGGTGCTGTTATTCAGTGTACACGCGCAACCCAAATCGGAGAACAAACTGTCTTTTCATATAGTCTGTTAAATAAAGGTTTCATTGTTAAAAACATGATACAACTTATTAAGGGTTTTCCTTTACATTAGTGAATAAACTCTCTTATCCTATATCCTATTTATCTTATTTCTCTGTAACTTACTATTGCAGTATTAGCATTTTTCTCTTCTTTAAGAGTTGTGTAATTAAATGTGCCATATTTTTGTTAATGGTCTGATTTGAATACCTATTTTCTTTCGTGCAAAAGGTCCATTACAAAATTCCCACACACCAAGGACTGCTGAATGTTTACTAAAATGAGACCTTTCACTCATGTATGGCAGTACAGTACATTTTAAACAGGCTACATTTTTGCCAGAAATTCAGCTTTAAGACAATTCCTCTGTATAGTATACGATATGTACTTTCATATTAATGGGATTTGTGTTTTATATTGTTTATTGTCAGGAGTGTATAATGAGACCAATACAGCAGTACTTATAAATGTATTATACATCTTATGTACTTTGACTATACGAATCCTATTACAAACACATTCGACTCTTCAGGCTTCTACGCCCTTAACTCATGAGTTATAAGGCAAGCATGAACTTAGCATGCTTCCCTGTTGGGCGCTGTAAACGCTTCTGCGCTTCACCTTACACAAGGATGTGGGGGGCATCCAATAAATGAAAAAAAAACATGTACTGTCCAGCTGTTTCAACTGATTTATGGTACTCTTTTTATAAGTTACTGTTCAGTGTAGTAAACTGTATTTTTATACCCCTCAATGCATTTTGTGGACTTAAGAAATTCATGTCATTAAATACTGAACTGTTCAATTTGAACAAAATAAAGAGAAAACGGAAATCAACAGATAACCGTGAAGCTCGCTATTTTTCCTGAAAATAAAGCTGTTGCAGCCGCCTTTGACGGTCCAAAGTGTCTTGCATAGTCTATCAAGTCACATTGCACGGGTAGGTGCAAGAAACTGTGAGATGCACCTGTTACGAGTACATGGAGTGGTATAATCTGAAGTAAGAGTGGGATGGCAGGCATTAAAGTCTCCGAGAAAAAGAGTGGGAACTCCTTCATGGAGGTTGTGAAGAACCTGGGAGTCTAAAGCATCACTCTTGAAATGAACATTGACTACATTCACAAGGGCGGATCCAAGGGGGTCCTGGACTCCCTTTCCATCAGAAAATTCCAATAATTTTTCTTGAATACAGTTGTACTCAGGCGCTTTTGTAGAATACAAAGTAATTACTATTGAATTCAGAATATCTTCTAATATCAATTACATATGGCTTCAATATGGCCTCAAAATGCCCATGATATTGGTCAGATTTCAAAATAATTTTAGCTTACAGCGCCCCCCTAAAACACCAGCTGGATGGGCTCGCTGTGCGTGCCATGTTCCCCCACCCAAAACTTCTTGGACCCCCCCCCCATTTGATATTGCAGGACCCGCCCCTGAAGAGACACAGAAGGTCCCTGAAGATGTATCTAAAACTACAGTAAAATCTATGAATAATTATGAAAAAATGTTAACTACAGTAGAACTCCTGAATATTTTTTGCATTAAGTCCATAAAAATTAATAATCGGTGCATAATCCATGGAAAGTGATAAATTTGTGTAAACAATACTAGGTTTTCCTGTACTGCACAGAAAAATACAGTGAGACATTACAAGTATGATGTAAAAAATACAGTACAAACAAAATGTGTCGTATAAATTCTACTGAAGCAAAGCCACCAGAAAAACTTCTGAAAGGTAGATTTTATTAGAATACATACTGATATGGGCAAATTATTCTAGGACTCCAGTTCCACTGTATATGCCAGTGTATGGGTATCAGCTACAACTGTCATCCTTTCCCCTCAAATCTTAAAACAAAAATATGGCTATTGAATAAATAAATATAAAAACTTGCTGATGAAAGCACGTTCCTGGAAACTAACGGGAGAATGTAAGTTTTGCCAAATCTTTGCTCGGATTTTCAAATTTTCAGTATTTATTGCTTCCCAGATTCAGAAAATCCAAGCCAAGTTTTGCCAGGGAGGTATTTATACAATCCTGCCTACTCATGACGCAAGCCGCTGTAGGAGAGGCGTCGCTGTTTAGCTGATGATGAGGAAGGCAACTGACCATTCAGCGAGCGAGGGTGGCGCGAGTCAGCAGAGCATTTGTAGGGAGAATTAGCCACTACAAGGTACTTATTAAATCACTTCTTGACCGTCTGTAATACTAATATAAGCTAGGGAATTGCATGCGTTCTAATACGTCTTTAAACCTGAGGTGCTGGAGTGCAGGGGCACCAGTTTGGAGACCCTCTTTTCCGAACTAGGTACTGTAGCAGGGGCGTATCCAAGAATATCAAAAGGGGGGTCTAAGAAGTTGTGGGTGGGGGAACCGGCAAGCACACAGAGCTTGTGGGGGGGCGGCGCTGTAAGCCCCCAGATCTTTTAATGTAACGAATATTACGGGCATTTTGAGACACTTTTGAAACAATGTGCACTTGATATTAGGAGATATTCTGGGGTCAATAATAATTACTTTTAACTATTAAAAAACGCCCTGGTATAATACTGCATTAAAGAAAAAGTATAGGAATTTTCTGATGAAAAGGGGGGGTTATGGGCCTCAAGACTCCCCCTCGATCCGTAGTGGATTTGTTCTTCCATTCTCAGCAGCTGCCAGGCTTCGTTTATTCAGCTCACCATATATTGTGTGGTGTGACTAGAGATTATTTAAATCCATATTTCCTAGATTTAAAAAATATATATATCTTTCAATAGCCCGCCGTAAACACCCTGAAACCCTTTACGTGGACCCAGATTAAGGTAGGGATAAACCATGCAATACAAGTCTAAAAATTTAAAATGAATGAAATCAAACAAGTACAAAGAAAACGTAAGTGACTACTCGGTCAATCAACCGACCATCCTCAGGCCACCACAGGGGCTAGACTTGTTTACCATGTGAGAGGTCCAGATTGATGCAGTATTTATTCAGTGAAAAAGTTACTTAAGTTCACAGTGCAGTGCAGGTATGTAAACAGTAAATTAGGTAACTATTGACTTCTGACCCAGCGACAATTTATCATAGTAAACTATTATAAAAACGCTGTAATATCACTGCTTTATAGAGGCCACTGTCGTAGTTTGTTCAATGTTTTTTTTTAAATGACATAACCTAACCTAACCTAACCTAACCTAACCTAACCTAACCTAACCTCTACATAAAACCTAGCATAATTTAACACCTGCCATGGGCAAACTTACTGTTACTGCGACAGGGGGAAACAGCGAGCCACAGTGTTGAGGAAATGATGAAGGATTGTGCTTTGGGTAAATTTGCATAAGCGCACCACACTGTTAGAAAGTCAAAAATATATTTTTCTAGTGTATTTGTGTGTGTTTAGACCGAATATGACCTTCATTTCTGTCGGAAATTGGCCGATTTTTTTTCGTGGGACGTTTTCTGAAAAAAAAATAATGGCTAAGCAAATAAAAAATACACCAAAAAACATTTAATAATTCTTTTTTTATATCTAATTAGTGGGACACGTTTCCATTCCATGCTAATCAGTTGATGTTTTTATGCTCTTCAGGATGAACCGACCTGGTCGTGGCCCGGGGCGTAAGGGAGGAAGAGAGAAAGGTGACAATGGGAAAGGCAATCGAGGACGGAAACAACGAGTGGGTCGACGGGAAAGATTTGAATCAGGTGCTGATTCATCATCTGTGGCTTCCAGGCAGGAATTGGAGGATGAAGCTCTATTTAGACTTACATTAAAAGGTACAGTACTAGTTGAAGGCTGTAATATGATGGATAACTTAACTTGTTATGATACTCTGGCACAGAATTGGATATATCACATTGCTAGTACTGTACAGTACAGTACAGCTGCTCCTCGACTTATGACGGGGTTAGGGACCAAAATCCAGGTCGTAAGTCGAATTGGTCTTAAGTCGAAAATGCTTAAATAATACATAAAAATCTAATATGCGTGTCTCTTTTTATTCTCAGCACCACAAAACTCTCACTTTTAAGCTTGCCAACCATTTTAAAGTGAATTACAAACGAAAATTTTGTCAGTACACAGCGCAATCACTAACGTTGGGACTTGAAAATACGTAATTTGACAAAATTTGGGTACGACTGAGGCGGTCGTATGTCTGGGTGGTCGTAGGTCAAGTATGTCGTAAGTCGAAGAGTAGCTGTATACTGAACTAATTTCCTTAACATACTGTCTTAAAAATTCAGAGATTGCATTTCCAGGAAGTTAATATACATGAGTGTATAAATTTGAAGAATTAGTGATAATTCTGTGGTTATCATCTGTACATGGACTCGCACATAGTTCGTATCTTTATACTGTATAGGTTCTATTGTTTATAAATATGTACCTGTATTGTGTGCAGTGTTCTCTATTTATAACATGAATTAATTATTCTTTTAACTGCTGCACAGGTCTGATTAACAGGTTAACTCACATAAAACATTCTCTCTGGTTAACAACTACAATACAACACTTAATTTAGTGTAAGTTAGGTGATAATTAATGATGAGAGACGTTGACTCCCTCATTATTGGGCTGGTGTATGAGTTTTGGACACAGGAATTGCATTGATGTGGACTCTAGGTAAATAAACTTTATTAGTTTGTCTTGTTGATGTAAATCACAGTATGTATAATAAATCATATATTAATAAAGGTTTACAGTATTTTTTTTTGGTACACTGAAATCTATGAGATCATTATGGTATCATATTTATTCTCTCTCTCCACATAAAGCAAATGGGTACAATTTGCTTAACTGACAGATAAACTCAGTTTGTTTACAGATGACAATGATGAAGAAAGTGGTGAAAATGAACAAGTTGCCGAAGGTAGGAGAAACATCACTGATATTGACAAGAAACCGCAGGTGGAAGGTAGAGCAGAGGAGGAGGATAATGAAACTGACGACAGTGAATATGAGGTCAGTAAAAAGGTTTTACATATCTTTCAGTCTTACTTTTGAATGCATTTTAGATATCCTGTCCATTTAACACACTTGTCACATTTCAGCACACTTGGTCAATTGTACAGATTAATTTTATACTTGCAATCTCATGAGTGTGCGTATTATTAGTGAATTTATTACCGTACATTTCTATATACAGTAACAGTATTCCCTGATTTATGATACTGTTGCCTTTCTGCAAACCACAATGCATCTTAAATAAACGTAAGTCAGGAGCCTTTTAACATGGGTTTCAATGGGATACGTACCCTTGCCTTCCCTCCAGCCAGTGTGGTAGGTAAACTTTGGATTGTGACTACAGTACATGCCTACTGATATAATTTTGTATCTAATGTAAATACACCTTCATCCTTCATGTGCATACTGTATCCAGGCAGAATATGACGTGAGTGATGTGAATTTCCCTGTGGCTATGTGGGACCTTCGTCACTGTGACCCAAAGAAGTGCTCAGGTAGAAAGCTTGTCCGGCACAGAATGGTCAAGCTCCTCAGACTTGGTCAGAGGTTTGGTGGCTTGGTTCTCACACCTGTTGGGAATAAGGTAAGTTAAATGATTAAATCTGTCATCTGTCAGTCATGATTTAGTTTAGTGCACATATTTATATTTTCTTCAACTATGATTTCAAGGATGTCAGCATTATATGAGTACAATACAGTGATTTAACAAGAAATGGGTCTTAACCATCAGTCATTGACAGCCCAGAATAAGAAAAAATAAAATAAAAAACCTTTCAGTAAATACAGTCATAAAGTGTGGGGGTGTTGGTGGTATAACAGTAAAGTGCATATATCTCACAACTGTGATCTAGGTACAAGTTCTGACCTGGGACAGACATGGGAAAGGTGTTATTCAGTGTGACCCTACCAAACACTTCAGATTCCTTCCGGGTATTCTGGTTTCCTTCTGTACTAACACTGAATGATAAAGTTCATAACAAAGAATGGCTAGTAAGCTGATAAATGGTGAAATGATTAATTATAAATACCCGTTCTACTGTACAGAAGTGGGAAAGCTTTTTTCTGCCTGTACTAGTATTGGAGGAGAGTATGATTGTAATATAATTTAGTTTCATTGCATGCAATGATGACATCCTTTATGACTGTTAACTTTGTCAGTTTTTAATTTAGCACAGCTATAGTACAGTATTGTAAATCTCAAGTGACTTATTTTCTCTCTTTTTTTCTCTTAGTTCTATAAATATAAACCTCAGGAGAACTGTTGCTATAATTAAGAGGAGCTGTACTTGTAATGGTTTTATTATAAGAAGATAAATTAAAAAGTTCTTGAGAACTGTTAATTATATTTTTATGAAATTTAAAGGCCTCTGAGAAGAATCTCTTTTTTTTGTGGGAAAGGAGGAATTTTTCATTGTTTGTTATATTTAAGGGACAAACACAATGTATTAATTTTCAATGAGTAAGACTTTAGTACCTAAATAATGGATATTCAGTGAGTACAGCACAGGTGGTACAGTATATTTTGGCTAATTTTCATGAGGTGTAGAAAATTGTAAATTGTCTAAAGTTGGATTTTTTGCCAGTACTGTACTGTGTTGAGAATAGAAATTATGAATAATAAATGCCTGTACAGTTATATTAATTACCAGCTGATTATTATGTCGTGGTTGAGTACCCCAGCCTGCACATCAAGACTTACACAATTCACAACATCTGCAGTGTGTTTCACCAGAGGATATAAGTATTCTTCTGCAACATGGTATTGCTGTGGTTGACTGCTCATGGGCCAGGTTGTCGGAGACTCCATTTAACCGGATGAAAGCAACTTACCCAAGGCTTTTGCCTTACCTTTTGGCCTGTAATCCTGTCAACTATGGTCGGCCATGCAAGTTGTCCTGTGTAGAGGCTTTTGCAGCCACTATGTATATATGTGGTAAGACTTGATTTGGTTTTCATAGTAAATGAGTTATGAGAAAGTTGGCACTGCAGTATTTTGTTGCATGTTCTGTATACTGTATAATCTTTTTCTGAAATATTTTTGTATCTTATAATTTTTTATATTTCAGGTCAAAAAGAAGCTGCTTCACTATATTTGAGCAAGTTTAAATGGGGTAAAACTTTTATAAAAATTAATGTAGAACTTTTGGACAAATATGCTGCTTGCAGCAATAGTGCAGAAGTTGTTCAAGCACAAAATACTTACCTTCAGGAGCTTGAAGAAGAATCTCAGAAGTCAAAAGGTGAGGAAATATTTTCAAACTGATTATGTAATTCCATATCAGTGTCACTGCACAGCTGTTCACGTAAAACTTGTCCAACACACAACAAGTCATGGCTTGATTCTCTAGTTAGACCTTTTTGATATTTCTTTAACATACTGTAGTTACATCTGTAGGTAAATCTCACTCCCCATATTACTTTACAGTATATTTGTTATTGTCTCCTCATCTATCAACAAACAGGGTGGTATTTGGGAATGTAGTGTTCCAGTCCCCTAACACATGATTTTGAAGTAAGACAGCTGATAAAAAAAATCCCAGTTGGCTGGTGAGACATAAGCAGGTTTTATTGAGGGAAACTCTAAAGTAGGGAGTCACTCCAGCACAATGTACTTTACGAATGAGGAACTGGACAGTTGCCTTCATTGGCTTTGTATTTTATCATAGTACTGTACAGTAACAGTTTTAGTGCACTGTATGTGATATAGTGTATGTTAGGTTGTAATTAATGATGAGATGTTTGTGCCTCTCACTTTGGGACCACTACATGAGTTACCCACGTTAGAAAATAATTCCTGTATGCATTCCTGGCACTGATTGAAATCACATCAAATCAAGGGTTTTCTGTACCAATGAGTCCTAAAGTAAAGGGAAAAACTAATTATAGGTCCAAACCTTACATTTTAAACATTCTGGGTTTGTACACCATTACCTAAATATTTATCCACTTTCTTTCTCTAATCCATCTACGGTACTGGTATTGATACAGTAAATGATGGTGGTAATGATACATCTCTCTTTTATGGGATTACTATGAATAATACTGGAGTATCTTGGGTGTAAAAATTGTTACAGTATTGTTTTATATAAGTTTGCATCCAGCTGCGAATCAATCAATCAGAGTACTGTACTGTCCTCATATCTGAGGGTTGGGGACTACAGTCCTCCTTTCTAAATGTTCTTGGGCTGTTTTTACCAATCCTCCAAGGTTTTGTGTCTCTGGGAACTCATTTTTTAATTTAATTCATTCATTCCAGTCTCTGCCTTCCCCTGGCCTTGCTACCCTCAATTTTGCCCACTAATATTTCTGTTATTCCCTCATCTCTAATTAGAGGATACAGTATGACCAAAGTATCTAATTTTTCTTTTCGTTTCACATATTTCTCTTTAAGTTTTTGCTAATCTTAGTACAGTGATATCCCGGTTAGCACTACCCTTGGCCAATTTTTCCCAAGCATTCTGTTTACAGTTTACAGTACAAATTTAGTGCACTTCCACTGTGGGCACATTCTTGATGACTCACCAATTTTTTTATATTAATGACTATTTCTTACTCATGTCTGGAAAACGGCCTGCAAGTTTTAATGCTGCTAGTGTGTCTAAAGTGCCGCGGAAAAATATCTCTGGATGTAAAATTACAAGTGATGAGGCAGTTGGAAGCTGGTGAACATCAGGTAGAGTCGGTGAGGCTTCTAACTTGGCTACATCGACTGTTTAAACCATTATTAAGAAGGTAAACAAGATAAAAGCTTCAGCCATGACAACCACAAAGTTGTTATATTAAGTGAAAGGCCTTATTGTATGACATAAATTTGTGTGTGGTTAACTGAAGCACAATGTGTGGTGGCAAGTTGGACATCAGCTACTGAGGAGTGCTTGGCAACACCTGGTGCATATTACCACTACCTTCCACTCCACCTTGCTAATCACCCCCACCTTTCAGCTTTCTTAATCCATATTTTAAAATGCTATGCAATGTAATGTTGAAGGGATACAACGTTGCTCATATATACTCACACTCAATTTTGTGGGTAAATATCAGCTGTTCAATAAAGTCTGGCAGTGCTGCGGGCACAGTGTTACCAAAGAAATTGATAGACGCATCACCTCCTCAATACTTACCAATCTCCCTCCCCACCACCTGCATCATCACCACCTGCATCATCACCGCTACCTCTATTATCACGACCTATAAGGATTAACATCAACCAGTGCAGAGCCATATGATATCCACTGCTACCCGTCTGCCTCTCACACTCGTTCATCAAACGACTGTCATTCATTATACAATTTTGTTTATTTGTTTCTCATTAATTAGTACATATGTGTTACTGTAATAATCTGCATTTATTAATACCTGTACCCTTCATATACAATACTGTACTGTATATATATCTTATAGGTAAAAAATAATTTCATCAGGAATGCATCTCCATATATGTTATGGTGTAATGACCCCTTAGAATGCTATTTTGGATTGTGCTCTATTATCCAGGAATGTATCCTGAAGGCTAAACCGGGTATTACTGTGCTTTAAAATACCTGATGCCAAGCTGGACATCATGCCAGCAAGGATTCAGGGCTAACCTACACTAGAAAATGACCATAAAATGGTGATGATACATTATAATGCTGACATAGAATGTATGCTTCTAATCCACCATCACATCTTGGCCTTTGCAGATGAGATTGATCTACCACCATCAGAATCAGAGGAAGAGGAGGAGAGTGATTAAGGTCAAAGGTAGAGAAGAATGAGGTTTGTGAATGTCGACAGAGTTTCACCACAAGTCAAGGCATGAGAAACATGTCTGTGAGCAAATACAGTAGTAATACTGTATCTGTACAGTGTGTAATGGTATACTGTGATGCTTATGAAAAACAACAAATAAATTCTTAATCAGGCTGTAAAGACACTAAGATATTAATTTTTTTCAGTGTACAGTACTGTATAGTCAAACTTCTAAAATCCGATCCTCCAGAATCCTTTAGTATCCCAAATTTGAATGGAAAACTCCTGTCATGTGTTACTCACTTGCTATAATCTCACCAAGTGTTCCTCACTTGTTTTTCTGGGTCAGCTTGGGTGACTTGCCTATTCAAATAGACACCGTTGCCTAATATGCATGTATTCGTATTCAAATTCATACTGTATTTATTTTGGTATTATAAGAAATTTAATTCTTTTAATGGCATCTCTTAAGCAGCCAAGTGATAGTGCTGAGTGTAGTGCTGCAAGAAATGAAGCATGTTATGTTTACAGTAGTATTGTAGAATGGAAATATTGACAGGGTGTCTGTTCTCTTCATTCGAGAGGAATATTGTGTTGGAAATACAACAGTGTGTTTATGACATTAAATTATCTTTTGTATTGAGAGTGCAACCAATAAGGGAATTGTATAGTGAAAAATCACTTCATCCTCAACAATAAATTATTGGAAAACTGGCTGGAACTTTTCGAGTGACTGCTGTCTTCCTCCACCCTTCACACTCATGTGTGGACATAATAGAACTTAATGTAAGTAGATACTTAGCATTAAATGCTTATATTTAACACATTTACATATAGGTACAGTATATTTTTTTTAAATTCAAGTACAGGTATACCTCGACTTACTACCTACTCGACTTACGTCCACCTGGACATAAGACCGCCGCAGTCATATAAAATGTTTTTTAAATTACGTATTTTCAAGCCCTGACATTAGTGATCGCGCTGTGTACTGATAAAATTTTCGTTTGTAATTCCCTTTAAAATGGCTGGCAAGCGTAAAAGTGAGAGTTCTCGTGGCACTGAGAAGAAAAAGAGACACCCATTTTAGATTTTCTATGTATCATTTTCGCATTTTCGACTTACGACCTGGTCGTCGGTCCCTAACTCCGTCGTAAGTCGAGGACTGACTGTATTAGCATTCATTAGAGTTTTTTCTAATCAAGCATTATCACATAAAAATCCTTATGCAAATTGTCATTTGTCTGGCAGTGTAGTAACTTATTCTATAACTTCTACATCCCAGTTATTTCATAACACTGGTTTTAGTTATGAATGTTTTAGCATTTTCAAAAACCTTTATTAATTTTTTTTATAAATCATTATTTTATTATTGCAAGTGTAAAATCCTAGCATATGCTATAAGTTTGTGTACAAACAGTACAACAGTAGCTGCTGCCTGCCGTGGATCAGTGATGTGAGCGATTAGCCGAGTACTGATGAATGAAAGTTTTCCCTATGTCTCCCAAGATGACACAGCATGGGTGTCACCCACGATTATTTTGAAATTGTTTTCAATGTGATGGCCTGCTCCTTTTGGAAATATTTTATATACTGTTATTATTTTTGTAAGTACAGTACAGTACTGCTACTTGTATTGCTACTTTTGTAAATATTATACAGTGGGGTATGCTATAACGAACGGTTTTACCTATAAAATTGAGAATGCTATAACGAACGAAACTCCTACAACGAACATTATTTAAATTTTTTTTTTTCTAATTTATTGTTTTTTTATTACAAATATTAATGATATTCTTTATTTCAGGGGTTTAGATGCATATTTATGCACTTTTTTACAATTTTTACAATTTTATATTATAATTTTCAGTGTTAAGTGGTTGTATTTGGGGGCCTGGAACGGATTAATCATATAACGAACGAATGCTATAACGAACAAGGTTCTAGAACCAATTTGATTCGTTATAGCATACCCCACTGTATATAATACTCTTACTACTGGACATCATAATATTTTTCATTTGATTCTCTACACAGGAGACAGCTTCAAGTGGCTGAGATCTCAAACTATAGCGCACAAAGAAATGTTTATTCCCTTTATGTTTTTGACCCTATGAGAAGTACAGGTATTTCTTTTTTTTTTTTGCACAGTATCTATGCAGGATGGTCTGTGCTTGTAACGGAGTAAAATAATCAATAAATAAATTAAATAGATATATATACAGGGTACTGTATATCCACTCGAAATTATAAGTAGAAAAATAAACATATCATAAAGCTCATTGGATGATGAATATTTTGTCAGGTGGCGGACTGCTTGGAAATATGCCCATTTGGCCTGGTAGTGAGAGGGTATTTCTTTTTAATGTACAGTACAAGTAAACCTTAATTTACAATCTCTCTGTTTACGATATTTTGCTTTAACGATGGTGATGTTTTAAGTCCATAAAAAAACATAAACATCAACAATGGCCATCATCCACCCAAACTATAATTATTTATGAATAAATATACTGTAATAACATTTTAATAGTTTGACATTTTAACCATCTTGTCACTGTACTCTACTGTTTACATTATAACTACAGTACAGTACAGTATAATTGAGTAAAATTTAACAAAAATGTATACTACTGTACTTCAAGAAATGCAGATGTAATCAAGTGCTGAATGTTTAAGTTGTTAGGAGTGAAATAAAAAAGGATTGATGTGGCAGAAAACACTACTGGTGCAGATGCAGAATTTTGAGAGTACATAATGACCAACCTGCACAGCATACAGTACTGTAATGTTTGTGTGAGTCAGAGGGATGACGGGTGAAACACATGAAAAGCTTTCATTTTGAAATATAAATGGACTGTTATTTTTCAACATTGGTGGTACTGTATAGTGCTAATGATATGCTTATGAAAATAAAAGAACACAGTGCACATGATATGATGGGCATGAAAAGAACATAGTATTTTGAAATTTATGTTAAGCAGTTGTAATGTACCATACATCTTTTTTTTCTTCCTATAATAACCACTATGCAAATTTCTTTTTATACTGGTACAAGAAAGAAGGGAAGGAGAAGGAAGATGGGATAAGGAAGGTGCTACAGTAGATAGAGGGAGAATTGACTTTAAGGAAGTGGGAGTGTGCATACAGTAAGTCCACTATTTATGTACTTAGCTATATTGCTCCTGTTTATTTCATAGTGCTACACTCACTGGTGAATTGGGGAATATAGTTTGATGTTAAATGCTTTGACTCGCGAAAAAAGTTAGGAAACAAGAAAAAATTTACAAACTACTTTGGGTATCATTCATAAAGACACACAACACCTATTGCTCCACATCATTGTTAACATCAATATTATTTTAGTCAAGACCCAGTTGTGTCCTGCATATTTTTTGTGAGTGTTACCTGTTAAACTTTAGCTCAACCCTGCAAACATGAGTGCAAAATGACCAGCAACTAATATTGTTGCCACTGTATCAAAGAAGGCTACAAAAAGTCATTAGAGGTAAAAATGGATGTGCTATACCTGTATTGCATTGATGACGGAAAGTGAGCAGTTAACAATGGCAGGGCACTTGGCCTACCAGCTATGATGGTGACCCAGACCCCTAGTCAGCATGTTAAGTTGTACGTTTTATGAAATTTTGAAGATGTGACAAAAGTTTCATTTCCTCTTTACTTTTTAACTCAAGCAATGTCATTGGTAAATAACATATATAAATGTTTTACTTTAACTCATTAGTTCTCTCTGTCAATCTCTTCTATAATTAATTCCACTTTTCTATCACTGCATAAACATTGTAGTAATATTACATTTTAATTTTACTGTACTTTAACTTTCTGTATATACCTGTACAGCATATTTTTTCCAAGTCAAAATAACAGCTCAGTACGTACTCAATGATGAAGAGAAGGGGGTGAAAGTCAGTGCTGGGGAAAGATTAGCTGAGGGAGGGAGGGAATGGTGAGGACTACTGCATTGACAACAAGGTTGTGGGACTGGGAAGGTGAGGGGGAGGCAGTAGGGAATAAGGATAGTGGGAAGAGGAGACATTTTAACTGCATCACGTTAGATACACATTAATAAATAGACAGCCACGGAACACTGACAATAGTGTATTTTCAAAGCACAGCAATGACTATTTTAAAAAACTAGCTATTTATAAGGTTGAGGAGGGGAGTTACAGTTAAATATGCAGCAGGAGCAAGTTTCATGATATTAAACAGGACATGCAACAAAACACATACAAATGATGTACACCAACTTACAGGTTCAATAACAGTTGTACTGTACTGTAAATATCCTCCCCATAGTGGTAAGATTCTTTTTGTCACAGCTAAGTATCTCTGTCTGATAAAAACCTGTCCCTAAATATCTCTCCCCGTACAACCTCTTTTAACTGGCCTAATACATGCACTTCCTTCAATGCTTCTCTACATTCTAATTGGTTCATGTCAGACAAAATCACTTGTTACTGTGTACAACTGGTCAACTCTTAACTCTGCTCCCAGAGGTTGTTGTTTCTTAAGTTTTCATGGGAAATTCAGCAAAAGATAGGTGTATTCACACCCTTCCCATTATCCATATTCCAGAATACTATATCGATGCTATTTAGCATCAAACGAAAACTTCACATTTCTGGAATCTAGGTGCTGTTTCAGTGTAGACAAAGAAACATATTTACTAAAAATCACTTATGCCTATCAGTATTTCCTCAGTTTTCATTAAATTTCCTTTCTGTAAATGCCTATACATTTAAAAAAAAAACCCGTGTCTGATGGTATATAACACATGGGGTCAAAACAATTTATAAGGCTTAAACTAGCATGTACAAAAAGTTATAAAACTGTTTCCACTTGCTCTGAGTGGCTGGGAAAGATAAGGGACTAAAATGGGGGTAAAAAATTGCTGGGGGTAAGACCAGCAGAGTGTTAAACTGTGACATCTAGAACAAAGAATTTGAATCCCCAAGTTATCTGGCCAAAACACGTGGTGATGTTACACATGCACAGAAACTTTGAATGCACATGACTGTCATTAACTTTCTGGAGTCTGGAGCTTCTCTGTTACAGAGAAAATACAAATTAAAATTATATTTTAGGATGAAAACAGTTTTTCTTTTAAGAATTCAAAATAATTGTTTTAGAATATTTCAACAGTTCCAGAATTACAGGAAAACAAAAACTAGCACGAAAAACTTGTGGGAAAAGACTACAGTAATTTGTAATGGATGGTAGGTGAAATTTTTAATTAGCATTATTTTTTCCACCACTTACTGCATTAGCTTTCTAGCTGTTAAAGCAGTTGTCTGTCCAGTGTTAGTACAGGAGGAAACCAAAGTGCCAAAAGGAAACTTGTGATGTTTGGTAGGCTTGCACTGGATAACTTTCTCACATGTGTCTAGGCCGGTGACCGGATAAAACCCCAACGGACAAAACCCCAGTCTCGTATATAAAATATAAAATAAAACACTTTTATGGTTAGGTTAGGTTAGTGTTGATAAATGACAACCCCGTTGGGGTTTTGTCATGGAACCGTCTAGGCCAAACCTTTGGCATATTGATGTGAGATATATGCATGTTACGGCTTTACCACCTACAGTGAAGTTTGAAGGACAACAGGAAACATGAAAGTACACAACCAAAACTGACAAGAAGCAATTAATTATTTCTTAAAAAATGGGTGAAGATTTAACAGGGTCATTAGCGTG